TTAATTTCTGTACTATTTGTGTACTTCTATATGTATCTATGCTATGTACAATGTTGTAATTGTGTACATCACACGCCATGTATCATACTTACTATATGTATGTGACCTCTTGTTACACACGTAAGTGTGTCGGAGTGAATAAATAAAAACTTAAACTTAAACTTAGGCCTCTTCGTCATCATCATTGTTTATAATTACACCATAAACGCACTATCCCGCGGATGATATACGTTGTATTAATAACAAGTAAAGGGAGGCAACTTCTACTCTACACTTGCGTTGAACGCTTTCATCATTTTTATTCAGCTATGATACTTGATATATATGTGTTATAATAACTATTTATCTTACTCAAAACAGAGGTGTATAAGTCTCTGATCATTATTACTACATGTATAATATAACTTTATCATAATTAAAACTTAATTAAAATATCATAAAAACGAGACAAATATCCCGTAATTACATTAATTGCACAGCACATATATATGCTCATCGTATGGTATTACTTAACTGATCGACCAAATCATGCATAGAGGTACACAGGGACGTATACACAAATATAACAAAATAGTATGCTATCCTTTCTAGAAATGTCATGCTTTAAATTTCAAAAGTATTTATTGTTACCAAAACCGAAAGAAATATTCACGTATGCATGCAATTAATTGGAAGTGCATTATATTTGTATAAAAAACATTTAAATACCCATAAACATGCAGGTTTCGGATTGATTATGATCAGTGTATAAACATTTAACAACCAAATTAAGAACTCCAAATAAAGGATATAGCCGACATTACTTACACGATTCGTTATTCATCTTGTGCAAACTTATCACTTATTTGTATTTTTGTATTGTATTAAAGTAAATGCTGAACTTTACGGTGTCTCGATGTACCTTGGTATTATAAAGTTTAATTGAAATTAATCTATGATTTTATTTACAAAACTCTCAATAAATATCTGATAGGATTAAAAATAATATTTGATTTTGAAAATTAATGTTCATATGCTTCACGGTAGAACATGAAAAATCCGTGATCATGTTTTTTCAAGAAAAACTGAAATTCTGCATTATTTTTATCAATCATCCTTTCATACAAAAATGTAATCGATTTATAATCAAAATACTTTTGATAAGTGGGAATTAAACTAAAACTGTTACCAAATCTGGCTTTGAATCCTTAGCTACATGTACCTAGTTAAATCTAGAATAATGTAATTAGTTTTGGCTAATCAACAAGATTAGATCGCAATTATCTCTTTTTGTTTTTTTAGGAGTGGGGTAGAGTGAGTTAGTTATCACTATGTTCCAGGCCGATGACACCCGCCTTCCGTACCTTGGACAGGCGATTAGACAGCTGTTGAGGAAGCTTCTTTGAAAATTCGTTGTGGCAAAGACGTTTAGGGAGGCAAAGGATGTAACTAACGTTCCATTCAAAGACCATAATGCACATCTACAAGACTCTTTCCTGGCCGTTAGTCTCTCCACTCGAGCCTACCTCAGTGAGCACCAAGACGAAAGAGCCACAAGAGTAACTACAAGATTCTTCAGCAGTGTTAGGAAGTTCTACATTGCAGCTATGGACAAGAAGGTAAAGAAGTTTCCATTCCATAACCCTGTTGTGAATAGACTTATGGTACCCTCCAAAAGAGACTATGTGAATCAAGCCTCTGTGACTGAGATTGGGAAAAGATTTCCATCTGTCATCCGAACTGACCAGCTAGAAGCCCTTGTAGAAGAGTACCGAGAAGGGTGCTGATACAGACCTGCCAAAGTGGGAAGGAGGGAAAACACGCTTAAACAGCATCTGGGGAGACATTATCAGCTGCAATTCAGTCGTCACTCACTCACTCACTGAGGTCCCCCGTCTTATATAAGTTAGCAACAGCCGTGTGCAGTCTTCCCAACAGCAATGCAAACTGTGAATGTGTGTTCTCCCTTCTTCACAAGGTCCAGACACCCAACGGATCGCATTGGGTCTGTCAACATTATCAGCATTACTAACTTGCAAATTGAACAGTGGTGATGACTGCTGTGTCTACAAACCAGCACCAAGAACTCCGAAGACAGCAAAGTGTGCTTGTGTTACTTACAAAACAGAACTGTCATGTTCCCCATCCATTAGCTAGGGACTATTATTTGTAATTATGATTGTGGACTGATACTTTGGGTTTGTGAAAAAGTACTGTTGAGCGGGGAAATGTGTAAGTGTGGTCTATTTGTGCACTATTTGTTGTGTAATCTACTTGAGGACGTTGGTTTTTAGATAGGAGTTATTGACCTACATAGACGGGAGCGGTCATCAATGTGCTTGTGACGAAGTCTGTAATTAGTGACTGTAACAGTGATGATTTTTGCTTTAGTTTGGCAGTTTGCTTCATATACCTTATAGTCTGTTGTCAAATTATCTTATATTGGTTATGTTTCTCTAAGTATATTCATGTCTAATTGATTTTTAAATCTTATTAAATGATTTCTTCAAAATGATAAAGTAATGGTGTCTACATATTCCAAGAAACCTACAAATACTACATAAAAGATTAAGGTTAAAATGTTGTAATTTGAAACAACACTTTTTATTTAAGAAATTTAGAGGTAATCCCATTATGTAGATATGTTATAAGTTAAACTTTACCCTATTCAAATAAATATGACAGTTAATGTGTCAACAGTATCGGAGAATTAAATGTCTGTAATATATACATGGGAGAGGAATTAATATAAGCTCTAAGCTTGCTTTCTAATACTTGTGTACTTCTGCTAACACCTCCCCTATAATTCCAAATTGACTTATTTGATTTTCCTAAGTGATAACACTGTCTCACAAGTTTTAAAGAAAGATCTGAATGTGCTTTTACAGAGATTTTATAAGTATATAGTTTGAGATTTTCAGTTACAATTCATAAAATATATTTCTACAGAATGTTCTCATAGTTTGAATGAAAGATTTGTATGAGCTTTTACAAAGATTGTATATGTATTCAGTTTGTGAGATTTTCAGTTTAGATGATAATATCTTTCTTCAAACATGGGCAGTCTATTTCTTAAGTAATGGGTTTGAAAGTATTGTGTTTATAATGGTGTGCATTGTAACGAAGATGTACGTGTGCTACTATTGATATTAGTGTTATCTTTGTATAGAAGTAACGAAGATTTCATGAGAGGTTTAAAAATTGATATTGTCTCTGTGAGCATTTGAAATAGACAGAAAGATTAAAGCATCCCTGTGTTTTATAAACTATTATTTGTTATATCTCATTAAAATAAAATAAAAACCATACCTGTACCTGTCTGTATTCTTTGCCTTATTATATAAGCTTACAGAAGAAAATCGCATTTGATGTAAATTGGTGATTTTATTGTTTAAGCAAATACTGTGGCAAATTATTTAATAATAAAATAATAAAATCATCTCTGTATGTATGTAAATTAGTCATCCTCTTCAATAGAACAGATAATCAATAATATCTTAACACCAGATAACACGTGACCCTGTCCGATTTCTCTCCATAAGGTATTATACAAGTTTGTAACTTTAGTTTAGAAATACGGGTCTGGCCTATATTGTACGGCAGTTTTGACTTCTGTCTTCTTATTTACATAGGATTCAACATCCTGGCCCTGGAGTTCCCAAGCTTCTCTGGCTTCCTGATTACAAGTTCCGGGTGTCTCTTCTTCAACCCACGGAACCAGCCCTTCCTGGCACGCCATTCCGAAAAGCATCGGCCACCTGCAACCGTTTGCACAAGGCCCCTGTCCTGGCAAAGAGCTGTCGGCACGATATGCCCATACCACATTTCGATGCAGTTATTACCGTTTTAACTATTTTTTCCTCCACGTTTTGTGGCAATACTGGGGCCTTCCCTGGCCTTGTGACAAGGTCACTCCTGCCACTGACCTTGTCGCCTAGTGTTGATTTAGGAACGGCAAAGTGTGCGGCCGCTTTCCTCACAGACATGCTGCCATTCTTCACTGCGATGGTCGCCTGTTCCATGCTTTTGGGGTCATAAACCATTGTTTTCCCTCTTTTCTTGTGTATGTACGTTTTCGGCATTCTGTAAATAAAAAATAAAAATGTGTTAAAGACGTACATTTATTAAATCAATCATCTATATATGTATTGCTGAATAATCATTATTGTAATTAAATACGTTGATTGTGCATTTTATCTATATCAGTATTAATGTTTCACGTACACGTTTCTGAAGAAAATAAAAAATCACAGCATGAAATAGGTTCATTTGACATATCATGGGATAAGAAACAGAATTATTAATAACGTAAAAAGTACTTATTTCAACCACGGAATTAAAATATCTAAGTCCGTGTTTTAACTATATAACTGTACATTTTCAAATATCAGGTAATAATTTAAAAACTATGAAAGCAGAAAAAATAAGTACATTTAATGTAAAAATATAAGAAAATAGACACTAAATTTACATACAAACTTAAAAGTCATTTAGTAATATTAGTCCTAATTATTCTTTTATCGGCCTTTATTTAATTATTCGTTACCGGTCGTACAGTTCATTTAAGCATTTTCGTTTCATGAATTTTTCAGTGTTAAAATGACTCATCTTAACAAAATATATTACTGTCCGAGTTCAAGTCCCTTAGTAAAACATGGGAACCTTAACTCGGACACTTTTATTTTGTATTTATAAAAGTATTTGCTAATACAAAAACATATTTATGTTATAACACATAAATACAATGATCACTTCTTTAATTAAATAGTACATATATAGACACATTCCAATATGCATACATACCTGATAACCGTTTTTGTTTCGTGACCTCCTGCTTTTGAATTTGACCGCCACAGGCACTTTTCATGGAGAAGTCAGGATACCGATATTTGACTCTAATATTACTATTTTCGGATATGACGTATTATGAACAAAATAATCACATAGACGCTTTGAATCACGGAAGTCGCACACAAGCGAAGAACAACAACACAACAATATAGAGCGTACATTTTATTGATTTTGATAGGAACTGTCCGAGTTTTGGTCCCGTCCGAGTTATTCCCTCCGACCCCTATACAACTACCGAGTATTGTTATATTTTTACAATGTATTTTACTTTGAAAAATTGAAGAGAGTATCCTTAATAAAATATAGTTATTATTAGAATTCTGTGATGCATTATGGGGGAAAAAGGATTTCCCTTCGCTTCCGATTCCCATTTAAAACACCGAAGATGTGGCTGGTTATGATTTTGGCGTTGGCTATGCCCGTTAGCATTGCGTGTTGGCTCGTCACATTGGTCTACACAACAGTTAATGGCGGTAACTATTTACAGTCAAAAGATGGGGAGCTGTCAGGCGCGGGGAAATGTATTGGTCATTTCTTAGGCATTCTCCGTCTTACAGGAGTCTGAAATTCTGTCAAAAATGAATAATAACAGCAATACAAAACAAAACAACAAAACACATATAATATGCTTATTCTATGTTTTTTTTTAATATTATTATGTACGTATACATAATTAGTAGCCCCAGTTTCCTCCGGTCCTGACACTAGACTTAGACATTTTGGCAGATAGATGTCTACATCATGATGATACATCTATTTGTCAAAATGTCCAAGTCAGGTGTCAGGGCCTAAGAGATAGCTCAGGCTTATATAATTAGCTGCGATAATGATCTGTATACTTATGTAGCGAAACTAGACTGGATCGATTGTCGGCGACTAGATAGCTCAATTGGTAGATCATCTGTCAAGAGTTCGGAGGGTCCCGAGTTCGGAGGGTCCCGGGTTCCAACCCGGTCTGGCCTTGCGTTTTTCCTCTCCTGTTACATTTGGCACTCAACGAAATATAACCACAGAAGGCGGTATAGGGTCTTGTGTGTCTTCGGGGTCGAAGACTTTGTTAAAGGAGGGAGGAATGTAGCGGAACTGGACTGGGTCGATCGTCGGCGACCAGATAGCTCAATTGGTAGAGCATCCATCTAGAGTTTGCAGGGTCCCGGGTTCGAACCCCAGTCTGGCCGTGCATTTTTCCTCTCCTGTTGCACGTATATGTAGCTTCTGACGTCATGAGACAGTTTTTACATATTGCGTAGTCAGAGCTACATCCGGTGTCATATAAGATAAGTATCCCCCCCAAAGGATAAGTATCCCCCCAAATCATATTAAACTTTTACTGTACATAGGTGTTGAATATATTGATTTTATCTAGGAGGAAGTATTAATGAACGTTATTTTTATAGCTGGAGGTTATAAGAAAGTTTTGAGGGTATACATTAGAGGAATGGGGTGTGGTGCATGGTGTTAGCTGTTTGAGGGTAATTGTTTAATTTAAGGGTAACAATTAATGATGTAGAATGATTGTTAAATTAACCTAAATAGCTTATACACATGTTTTAATTGATCAATTCTTACACAAACATTAATGGTTTACTTTATAGAGCTTTAATTTAACTAATTGATATAAAATTAAGATATATATATATTTAAAATAAATATAGTGATCTTAAGTCATAATCATGACATGCTGGTACAGTAAACATACATGCAGTTTGAATTTGTTGCTTATTAACATTTTTTAACATTTATATATATAGGTGTTTAATGTGTTCATATTCTTACCTGGTGAGCCTGAATTTCACCTACAATGACAATGGGGAGGGGTGGGGGGCAGTCATGAATGGAGGTGTGATATCTACCTATACACTCCACAGGACTTGACAGGTGTATGTATAGATAATAAGTGTTGTGACAAGGCTTCTATACAGACTGTATGTGTATTAATTAATTCTTATGAAATAACTATGCCTATCTATGTGAAAACAAAATTATAATTAATTGTCATTATTTCAGTGTTATATATACCTGCACATTTTTTTTTGAGATTCATATGGTTTTATTCCTTGTGTAAGACAAATCGGAGAGTAGCCATACAAATAGTATAGTATATTACAAAATTACAATGTACATGTATACAATAATAGTCGAATGAAATATGATGCATATTGTGCAATGGCATACGTGATAATTCATTAATCATGCAGTACTTCAAAATGACATATAATAAGAAACAGCATTTTATACTGAAATACACCAACATCGTAAGGTTCTGATACAGTGAAATCATAACAATAGTATACTACAATGATAATAATACTATGATAACTTTCAATGAGGTACGTTACAGGTAATGATAACAGGATTTAATATAGCTACATACAAATACAATCTAGTAGAACATTAAAGAACAATAAAATACACTGCCATAGAGTAATAAACACGATGTTACACCTGATGTTTTTGACAGTGATATTACAATATAGAAAATACTCATCGATGTTGTTAATTATGATTTACTGATATGACCTTATCAAATAAAATGATCTTTTTATCAAATTTTGAGAGTTAAATTCATTAAAAGGTACTACTGGCGTAGGTCATCTGTCTTCATGTTAACTCAGTTATTAAGTGTACAGAACAATAAGGAATTAATTAATGAAAGTTTATTTTTGAAGCAAAAAAGTTGAGATCAAGATACCATACCTAAGTAATTATACATTATTACTACATGATCTAGCTTATACAGCATTTTCTTTGCACTGATTGTACGCCATGACATATCTTGTAATTTGATTGATTAGCTGATGAGCAAAATTGCTCATGGCCTAATAAAGAACTTGAACTATATATATTTAACTTCATATGGGTAGATATAATAATGTGGTGTTACATCTTATAAATATAAATACAAGATGATAAAACAGAATTAGTATTTTTGTGAGATATTGAAAATAATTATTTCATAGGAAAACCTGTTAATTATATTTTCTAATCTTTTTAACGGTATTATGCATAATTTAACTTTNCCCATATGTCAGAAAATCTTAATACTATAGCTGTAGGATTTGTATCCCCCTCCCATATGTCAGAAAATCTTAATACTATAGCTGTAGGATTTGTATCCCCATCCCATATGTCAGAAAATCTTAATACTATAGCTTAAGCATTTGTATCCCCCTTCTTTATTTCAGACTAGCATGTTTCTATAGCCATTGGATTTGTATCCCCCTCCCATATGTCAGAAAAGCTATTTTCTATAGCTGTAGGATTTGTATCCCCCTAGTTTATGTTAGAAAATCTTAATACTACAGCTGAAGGATTTGTATCCCCCTCCCATATGTCAGAAAATCTTAATACTGTAGCTGAAGGATTTGTATCCCCCTCCCATTGTCTGAAAATCTTAATACTATAGCTTAAGCATTTGTATCCCCCTTCTTTATTTCAGACTAGCATGTTTCTATAGCCATTGGATTTGTATCCTCCCTCCCATATGTCAGAAAAGCTAATTTCTATAGCTGTAGTGTTTGTATCCCCCTAGTGTATGTCATAAAAGCTTATTTTTATAGCTGCAGGATTTGTATCCCCCTCCCATTGTCTGAAAATCTTAATACTATAGCTTAAGAATTTGTATCCCCCTACTTTATTTCAGACTAGCATGTTTCTATAGCCATTGGATTTGTATCCCCTTCTAATATGTTAGAAAAGCTTATTTTTATTGCTGTAGGATTTGTATCCCCCTAGTTTATGTCAGAACATCCTACAGTTATAGAAATCAGCTTCTGTGACTAATGATAGGGGGGATACAAATCCTACGGCTATAGAAATCATCTTGTCTGACTAATAATAGGGGGGATACAAATCCTATGGCTATAGAATCAGCTTCTGTGACTAATGATAGGGGGGATACAAATCCTACAGCTGTAGGAATCAGCTTCTGTGACTAACGATAGGGGGGATACAAATCCTACAGCTAAAGAATCAGCTTATCTGACTATAATGATAGGGGGGATACAAATCCTACAGCTATAGTATTAAGATTTTCTGACATATGGGAGGGGGATACAAATCCTACAGCTAGAGAATCAGCTTATCTGACTATAATGAAAGGGGGGATACAAATCCTATGGCTATAGAATCATCTTCTGTGACTAATGATAGGGGGGTTACAAATCCTACAGCTGTAGGAATCAGCTTCTGTGTCTAACGATAGGGGGGATACAAATCCTACTGCTATAGAAATCATCTTGTCTGACTAATAATAGGGGGGATACAAATTCTATGGCTATAGAATCAGCTTCTGTGACTCATGATAGGGGGGATACAAATCCTCCAGCTGTAGGAATCAGCTTCTGTGTCTAACGATAGGGGGGATACAAATCCTACTGCTATAGAAATCATCTTGTCTGACTAATAATAGGGGGGATACAAATTCTATGGCTATAGAATCAGCTTCTGTGACTAATGACAGGGGGGATACAAATCCTACAGCTATAAAAATAAGCTTTTCTGACATACACTAGGGGGATACAAATACTACAGCTATAGAAATTAGCTTTTCTGACATATGGGAGGGGGATACAAATCCTACAGCTATAGAATTAAGATTTTCTGACATATGGGACGGGGATACAAATCCTACAGCTATAAAAATAAGCTTTTCTGACATACACTAGGGGGATACAAATACTACAGCTATAGAAATTAGCTTTTCTGACATATGGGAGGGGGATACAAATCCTACAGCTAGAGAATCAGCTTATCTGACTATAATGAAAGGGGGGATACAAATCCTACAGCTATAGAATTAAGATTTTCTGACATATGGGACGGGGATACAAATCCTTCAGCTACAGTATTAAGATTTTCTGACATATGGGACGGGGATACAAATCCTACAGCTATAGAATTAAGATTTTCTGACATATGGGACGGGGATACAAATCCTTCAGCTGTATAGTATTAAGATTTTCTGACATATGGGACGGGGATACAAATCCTACAGCTATAAAAATAAGCTTTTCTGACATACACTAGGGGGATACAAATACTACAGCTATAGAAATTAGCTTTTCTGACATATGGGAGGGGGATACAAATCCTACAGCTATAGAATCAGCTTATCTGACTATAATGTTAGGGGGGATACAATTCCTACGGCTGTTTCTTTACAGCTTCAGAAAGATAAGCACTGTAACTGATAAGATGGAAGCATGAAGGTGATACAAAATTCTTAGGCTTAATTAATTTAGTAATAAATGGCTATAGAATCAGCTTCTGTGACTCATGATAGGGGGGATACAAATCCTACAGCCAAAGAATCAGCTTATCTGACTATAATGATAGGGGGGATACAATTCCTACGGCTGTTTCTTTACAGCTTCAGAAAGATAAGCATTGTAACTGATAAGATGGAAGCATGAAGGTGATACAAAATTCTTAGGCTTAATTAATTTAGTAATAAATTGATCTGACATTAAGGACCTGGATAGATTTAAACATGTTATACTAAGATAAAAGATTCAAAACATATATTTGTAAAAAAAAAAGATCATGAGTTTAATAAGATGATCATTTTGATTCAACTGAATTGCATACTTATTTGTAAATTATAATCTGTTAATAGCTTGGGAACCAATGTATTTATTTTTAATCAGAGACATATATGTCTTTATATGTTTCTGATTTATTAAACTAATTAGCTGTGCAATTAAGAGGAATCTATTCTATTTAAAAATGGATCTTTGATACACTTCACATTTAATTGAATATTTCGAGGACTCCAGTATGAATAATTGCATAATATAATTAATTGAATGGGACTAACATTAATGGTATCTACGCAATTTTTCTTGAAACAACTGTACATGTGTCTTAGACTTATATTTTCAAAGGCAATCGTCTACTGCTATTCAAATATACTTGTACATATTCTTTATTCATTATTTGACAAATATCTTGATTGAGGAATTAATGTTAATAATTTAATTTAAACAGATATAAATTTGAATAATCATTTTTCCTAATGATATATATGTTACTATTACCTATCTGTTTTCCAAATGAGAAATATACAAGTGATTTTTTTTTTAAAATTGGATAATGAATCAAGAGAGATCTATAATATCTTATAATTGATTAGGCGTACATACACATGTTTATATAGAATAAAGAGAGTATTTTTAACATTTGGAAAAAACCTATTTTTGTCTTTTTAAAATGTGATAATTTGTTATTAAAACAAAGCAGTTGTCTGACTAAAATCACTTGAAGTAAAAGACAAATCAGTCATGATTAATAATTTTTGTAATTTTTAAAACTACACTTTTGATCCTTACTATCACATGCTGTGGCCAATTCTTCTTCTGAGTTGGACTTTGAAGAAAATCTATGATTTGGTTGATGACCTCTAAATCCATGCTGCTTCTTCCAGCTTCTTTGTAAGAATGACCCTAATGACCTATACCTTTTCCCCATCCCTACATCTACCTGTGTGTACAGGTAATAGGTGCTAATGATTAAAACAACACCCTGCCATTACCAGGGCAGATTCCCCGCCCAGCTAACAGTTTTCCCCTGCCCCAGGTAATCAGAGGACAGACTTTCGTCTCTTTCTATTGAAGTGTGAATAATTACTCCTTCAGTGACCATGCCAGGTTTAATCAACAGTTCAAATAATTTCAACAATTTTAATAAATCCATAAGTTTGTATTGTATAGAATAAGATCAATCAATTATTAAATAAGATATCAATTCATTGCATGTTTACAAAAATTTTAGTTTCTGATCGAGGTAAATTATCAAATTAACTTTTTTCTCCAATTTTCCCAATGATATCATAATAAAATTGAGGGGGATACAATTCCTATGGGGGGGATACTTTTCCTATGGCCATTTATTGTATCCGGATACTTATCCTATGGCCATTTATTGTATCCGGATACTTATCCTATGGCCATTTATTGTATCCGGATACTTATCCTATGGCCATTTATTGTATCCGGATACTTATCCTATGGCCATTTATTGTATCCGGATACTTATCCTATGGCCATTTATTGTATCCGGATACTTATCCTATGGCCATTTATTGTATCCGGATACTTATCCTATGGCCATTTATTGTATCCGGATACTTATCCTATGGCCATTTATTGTATCCGGATACTTATCCTATGGCCATTTATTGTATCCGGATACTTATCCTATGGCCATTTATTGTATCCGGATACTTATCCTATGGCCATTTATTGTATCCGGATACTTATCCTATGGCCATTTATTGTATCCGGATACTTATCCTATGGCCATTTATTGTATCCGGATACTTATCCTATGGCCATTTATTGTATCCGGATACTTATCCTATGGCCATTTATTGTATCCGGATACTTATCCTATGGCCATTTATTGTATCCGGATACTTATCCTATGGCCATTTATTGTATCCGGATACTTATCCTATGGCCATTTATTGTATCCGGATACTTATCCTATGGCCATTTATTGTATCCGGATACTTATCCTATGGCCATTTATTGTATCCGGATACTTATCCTATGGCCATTTATTGTATCCGGATACTTATCCTATGGCCATTTATTATATCTGGATACTTATCCTATGGCCATTTATTGTATCTGGATACTTATCCTATGGCCATTTATTGTATCCGGATACTTATCCTATGGCCATTTATTGTATCTGGATACTTATCCCATGGCCATTTATTGTATCCGGATACTTATCCTATGGCCATTTATTGTATCCGGATACTTATCCTATGGCCAAATATTGTATCCGGATACTTATCCTATGGCCAGTTTTGGTATCCGGGTACTTATCCTATGGCCAGTTTTGGTATCCGGATACTTATCCTATGGCCAGTTTTGGTATGCGGGTACTTATCCCATGGGGGATACAAATCTCACATGAAACCGGTTCTAATGTCAACTAATGGAGCAAAATCAACATTGTCCAATCTGTAAGATTACATATCATTCACGCCTCATATGAGCATAATTTTATTATGCATAATTCATGAATTGTTGAAATAACGAATTCACACCAGACTTGCTCTATTACAAGGCATAGGATTGATTTAATACTGGCCGGGGTAGATGAGGCCCGGTATAAATATTAGTACAAGGTAGTACTACCCTTTTATGTATATAGAAGTTGGTTGGTTATTATTTTTGTTCGGATATAATTGTGCCGACTGTAACACCTCCTCCAACAATGTTTGGGTAAAGGAGGTACAGATTGCATGTTGGAAACCCTACAATAAAATACAATTAATATGAAACCAGGATAGTCTGAACAGAGTGTATCTTTACTTAACCTATGACTGACACTGTCTTCCTTTTAGTCAGAATTGTATAACTACGTACATCAAACTTGATTGACAAATTATTCTACAACATAAATTATAGATATATTTCTTCTAAAATACAGTATAAAATGTATGCATTTAGATTCACTTTTTACTTTAAATATCCTCAGTGTCTAGCTCGTTTTTTGCCTTTTTCTTTCTAAATGGATTAATCAGCTGATTTATAAAATTTTCCAAATCTTTTTAAATAAAACATGTATCTCAGATATTAGCTGAACAACTTTATCTGTGATGTAAAAAAATTATAACATTGCTAAAAAGTTTTGGATCTGATTTGTTTGTTTAAGGAATCTGTTTAATTGTTGAAGTGTTCGATTTAAACTCAATATTTCTGTACCAGTGCATGACAATATGATGGCCCTGGTATAACTTACCCACAAATAAGTCAACAAAATAGAATTTTGAATCGTATCAAAATGTATTGCGATTATCATACTTTCCTAACAGAAAGATACAGTTTATTAAAACTCAAACACTCAAAAACCCCAATCCAATGAAAATTGTGTAAGAATTTTGTTTCAGTTTGAATCATATCAAAATGTAATGAGATTATCATACTTTCCTAACATGAAGATACCGTTGATTATAATTAAACACTCCAAATCCAATGAAAATTGTATTAGAATTTTGTTTTCACTTGACAGGTGCACACTGCATCACTCCTTGGCGTTGGTTGGTGGCCACAGTTGCTCCAATAATGATAGCCAGATATGGTCTGAAGAAGGGCAGTCTGGACAAGTCTGGGGCAATCGCAGGTTGGTTTGTCGCTCCAGATTTCTTATACAGTTTCTTCATTATTACCGTTGTTTATAATTCGAAATTTGAGTTTGTGCTTTGTTACAAGTTCTGTGATTGTTTGATTGTAACACATGTGCACTATCCGATAATTCATGGTATCATCTGTGTGCTCAATTTTAACCCAAAAATTCTCTTCTCCGTACAAATTCTTTGAAAGAGTACTGCAAATTGATCTCGGGTAAACAGCATAAATAACATTTCGCTTGGTATATGATAAAAGTCCATTATCATCTAAATGCTTCTTTATACCACCTATGGGTAGCATGATAAATTTATTATCATGGGTTGTTAGTATGAGAAGAAGTTGAGAAGAAATTTAGAACTTATTCTCAAGACAAACCTCGAAAACACAGTGTGATAATCTATAATTGTCTTTTGAGTTGTCTCCCATTACATAAACCATAATCCTCCTGAACAAAGTTGGTAGATCTGCTGCTTAGTATTATTTTTTGTTATCTTTGTCTTATTATTTATTATTAGTATAAGATAATTTGAAATTGAATAAGTTTTAACGTCTAGATTACACCAGTGACACATTCTATCGTCTGATGCATAGACAACATCAATCTGACAAGCTCATGACAAGGTGTTTAGATGTCTTGTATGGGTCTGCACACAGTGATCAAAATTGTGACGATATAGGGGATACATCTCTATGCTTTTAATGTTAGAAAGTATGAAGAGAGGTTAATTTGCCTTTACAGTCATAAATACACATATCCACCAATTTCCACGAACCTGGCAAATGCTGTATGTATAAACACTACTGTTAGGCCTACACTACTACTAACCCAATGCTGTATGTAAACACTACTGTTAGGCCTACACTATTACTAACCCAATGCCGAGACTTCATGTACATGGATGTACCAATAACAAAATTCCAAGGGATGGGGGAATATAATTATGACACATAATGTTCCTCCGACGACATACAAATTGAAGTTCTTTCATATTTATATCCATTAATGCTTAATGAAACAAAAATCATTGCGAGTCTAGCTAATGCACTTACGATTATAATAAACATGGTTTTGTCATACTAGTCTATCATTCCGTGCTCCCGAATTATCTTCCCGCGAGTTCACATTTTCACATGGTTACACTGTTGAAAACTCTCTCTAGAAAGAGTTACCTAGGTAATTGCTCATTCGGAAATTAAACCTCGGTTTCTTCAATGCTTTTTCTCAACAAGGTCGCTCAAGCAGAATAAAGTAGTGGTGGGTACAATTTCACATTAATTCATTTCAAGATCCCCGAAATTATATTATGAAGTTACATCATTTAACCACACAAAATTAATGAATGAAAGGAAAAATTCGTAATAATTTTTTATGTTTTTGGTTCAATTTCCCATTGATAGTGATTTGGAATTATAAGGATTGATTCTGGATTTTTTGAAGTTAACGCAAACTTAAAACGTGACAAATTTCACCACTTGAGAGGCTAGCGCTGCGGGACATAATACAAGGGTGCAAAGATGATGAGTTAATAATCAGAGTTATAAATATTTACTTTAAAAGAGGAGGATTCTTACACTGATTACAAAACTACCAGTTAAACACTTACTGTGTATACAGGGCTCCATGTACAAGTAAAATACTCTTTGTTCATTTATTATTGTAACATAAGTCATTTTTTTAAAATTCTCCGCTTGGAGTCAAACCCGGGACCTCTGGTTTACTAGTCTTACCCTCTACCAAATGAGATCAAGAGAAATTCCCCCTAGCTAAGTCAGTAGGAAGCAGTTAGAATCTTACATGTACCTGAGTGACATCATGCTTATGAGTTGATTACTAATCTACATGGCGGTACATTATTCCTACAACTATTTCTTGCTGTTTTACAGGGTTGATAGTTGGTTTCGTCCTTACCATAAGCAGCCTCTGCTTCTTCGCCTGTTTGTTGACCTTTTTTATACTTGGATCAAGAGCAACAAAGTACAAGTCTTCAGCCAAGAAAAAGTTTGAGGACAACTTCAAGGAAGGTGAGGAATCATTCAAAGTTGTTTGATTGTTTTGTTTATGTTTAAAGATTTGCTTAAAAATCACAAATTAATCCATATTTCACATTATTCCTTCGATCATTTTTTTTTTATCTTTGGACCTTTCTGGTAAAGAAATAGAAGAATTTAGATGATCGATCAGCAGAATTAATTAGATGATCAGTAAGTGGAATTAATTAGATGTTCCATTAGAAGAATTTGTTAGATTATAAACTACCAGAATTTATAATGTGGTCAATAAGCAGAATTTATATATAATTATTAGATTATTAATAAGCAGAATCAACTAGATGGTCAATTAGCAGAATTTATTAGGTGGTCAATAAGTATAATTTATTAGATTATAAACTACCAGATTTTATTAGATTATATTTAATCAGAATTTATTAAATTATAAATCAGCATTATCAATTATATGGTCAACAACCAGAGTTTATTAGGTGATCAATAAGCAGAATTTATTAAATGATTAATAAGCAGAATTTATTAAATGATCAATAAGCATAGTTTATTAGTTAATTAATAAGCAGAGTTGATTTATAAGAAGGATTGATTGGATGGTCATGCAATAAGTAAAAATAATGTTTGTTTATGTAATGTGTTTAGTGACAATGACCCAATGTTGATTTAGTTTTCGTTGTTACTGCCTCAGCTCTCTATGAGATATAACATTAGCTGAACTTGACCCAGATTTACATCGAGGATCAGTCTTTGATGAACAGGAGATGTTCAGCTTGCTGATTCCTTGTCCTTGTTCAAGGGTTGTTCATATTTTGCATTAGTTTCATTTACTTTTATTTCAAATAATGATTTTGTTTACACTTCAGCGATTCACATTATCTATATTATATTTTCCCTTGTTTACGTAAACAGGGGGCCAGAGAAACTGGATACAGGTGCTATGTAACGGGGGAATCGCAGCCCAGTTTGCAGTGTTGTATATGTTGGACAGCGGTTGTACAGAGAAAGTGGTGGACTTCCAAGCCTGGTATACACCCTCCTTCTTCTCCATGGCTGTCCTCGGCGCCCTCGCCTGTAGTTGTGGCGACACCTTTGCCTCGGAGATTGGCACAGTCTTTAGTATCAACACAGTACCCAGGCTAATAACTTCATTCCGTATTGTCCCTAAAGGTAATCAGTATTTTACATATTATCATGGTTTATAAAATTAAAAGTTTCCAGTGCATTGGTACAAAAAGTCAACAAGAAATAAAGGACTGCACATGATTCCATATATCAACAGACAAAAGGAAAACTGTTTTTATTTTTACAAACAAAAATTAAAAAAAACAATTTATTAACTTATATTTATCACTGCTGTTGGTTTGGATTGAAGCACCCAGGCAGGGCTCCAAGTGGTGACTATCTTAGTCGCCATGGTGACCAAAAGTTGTCAAGAAAAATAATATAAAAAAATACATCAAATAAAAATTTGGAAAAAATTACCTGCCTCCAACTTTAATATTAACAACAACATTAATGCCACCAAATCACTTTGATTAGAACACATATCACCCAGAGAGGTATTCAAACACCTTTGAGGCTCTGATCACCATTTTCTCACAAAATGGCTGAACAAAAAAGGCTACATATATCTTGTCCATTGTTAGATTACTACCAGTCACTATTATCCAATTCCAACAAGATTCGTTTGCAACAGGTGTTTTGATTGGATACGGACCATGTTCTATTCTGCGATAGAATCATGATCAATCGTGTTAAGCTCCTCCCATTGCACTTAAGCCACCCCCGTTTCTTACCAAAACAATATGGCGTCAAGCTCGCCTCTTAGCGAAATCCCGCTGATAAGGCTAACAGGTAACAGAAAAGAAATGACTGATGAAACGTATTTGTTGAATGAATTAAAAAGTAAAAAGTAAATATTCCTTGCTCTTACCTCCATTTATTACTGAAACGTTTGTTCCATCCGTGTGAAGGCATCTACTTAGATCCGTAATCAAATGAAACATTTCACATGTGTCGTATGCATTTGTACAAAACTCTTCACAAATATATACAAATAATCACCGATTTTGTGAATAAGCACAGATTGGTATGCATAATGACATGAAAATGTAAGAACTTGGTGAATATTAATCCAAATGAGTCGTATAAACTTTGGTAACAAGACGTTCATGAACAATCCAAATATTCCGCCTCGTCAGCATACAGATCGAGCGCTCGCCAGTTTGGGCGGGGCCAAATGACTGACTTTGGAAAGCTTGAACCATTCGTCGCCAGTTCAGGTCACAAAGTATTTTACTACATACTTTTGTACAAGGAAATTCAATGTTTCTAAACATATAAGCGTAATATATTTGTTAAGGTGTGTTAGAATGGGGATAGTATGTTGTTTTTTGTGTCTATACTGGCGATTAGAACATGAAATTTGGTCATGATCGGTCTCGAGTTCAAACCCAAATTTCATGTTCTATTCGCCAGTATAGCCACTCAAAACAACGTACTATCCCCTAATTGTGAAATAAACAAACACAACAGATAGTTTTAGGAGCCTAGGCAGTTAAGTTTTTATTGTTGATGTGTATGGCAGTGAGTCGGATGTTATGGAAACTATTTAATTGTATCGTTCTGTAGACGAGTGTGGTTTGTTTCCTCACACAATAAGATTATACAACTTGACACACGTTTTAGTGACCTTGTACACATGATGTAATCAATTTATCAACTACTGTTTGTGCATTGTTTTTTGGACATTTTACATATTTTTATAAAAGTTTTAAATCTTGGATAATGTGATTGGCAACGGATAATTTCAATTCCTTACAAAATACAGATAATGCATCCTTACAGAAAAAAGTTGCATTCTCACTCATTTGAATAAGATAACTGATCTATAGACTACTGATTAGATATACTGTTTGTACTTGCATGGGAAGATTTAAAATCTTACCAAAAATAAGGTGGTAGTTTTATTATCTCTAACAATACAAATAATCATAATGGTCTACGGTTGCGTTCATTTTTAAACTTTCATGTTTGAATGAGGCTAGAACATCCCCCCCTCCTAATCCTCTGATTAATAAGCCTTCAATGTCTTGAGGATTTTCATTATTGATTCTACATTTCTTTCAAATTATGATATGGCAAAATTGAAACCACCAGCAGTTCTAGATCTGTGCATTCTTCCATCCTAGTAGATATGAACATTATTCAGGGGAGTGCACTCTGATAGGCCTAGCTCAATATCAGAAATTGTTTTCAGGGGAGAGAACTCTGACACACCTAGTTAAAACAATTCAGGGAAGGAACTCTAACAGACCTATTGTTGAATTTCATTGTCACCATGGAAATGTTATATTAAAGATGAAAGATTAAGAAATTTTCAGATATTTCTGGTAGATTTTATGTAAACGATATGTGTAAATAACATATATACCGTTTCGAAACAGGGGCCGCGGTGGTCAAGTGGTTAAGGCGTCTGATATTCTACTACCACTAGCCCTCCACCACTGGGTCGCGGGTTCGAGGCCTACGTGGGGCAGTCGTCAGGTACTGTCCGTAGGTCGGTGGTTTTTCTCCGGGAAATCCGGCTTTCCACCACCTAAACTTGGCACGTCCTTAAATGACCATAGCTGTTAATAGGACGTAAAACACAAACAAACTGTTTTGAAAATGTTGTAATTTTCTACATAATTTGTTTGCTGTTGATCATTAACCAATTAAAGTACATATTTCTATAAAACATGTTTCATTATTCGAGAGACATATTTTGTAATTATTTCATGAGGACAATTTTGAATCTCGTAAATATTTGAATATTTTCATAATAAAGATTGTTTGCCTAAACCGAATTGACCCTAAAAAAATCACTTTTTACTTTATCGTTTGAAGTATTTGAATTTATTCAGCCATCTGTTTCGTTTATTATCTCTGCTTTAACCAAAACATTGGAACTGTTTACATCTGACAATGTATGACGATGTACATTATCAATATATAAAAACATGCAACTCATCAGGACATGGTTTCAAAGAATTAATTAAATCCCATAGAAATGAAATATTTCAGAAGTACAGTTTTTACCTACATATACCCACAGTTGTGCCTAAACTTAAAATCCATATTCTCATTTAAGCATACACACAATTTCATTCACATGCCTGAGGTGGTATATTCAGGTGAAGGGCTAGCGAGAAATGAATTATCTTGTCCAATTTTCAAGGTTAAAATCTTTTAGTAATTTCTTTTAAATAACCAAGAAGCCTGGTGTCATATTTGGTCAGTAGCATAGGAAAGGATGGGGGGGNNGGGGGGGGGGAGGTTTGAAGGGCTATCAATTTTGTGAAAAAGATAACCTTGGCCCATATTGCCTCTTTCAAAGTCACTGAGGTAAGATGTATTTCCCCCTAAAATTGAATACCAAGGGGGAAAGACTTGGCCACCAATACCCCCCCCCCCCCCTTTACTTGACAAAAAAACAAAATTAAGGATGGATAGATTCAGTAATACCAACATGGGGATAGGATTGGGTAAGAATTGGCCTTGACCCAGCCATTTTGATCATAGCTTTGAAATATTTGAGATCCTATTCTAATAACCAAATATATTCTTGTTGGGTATGAAAAAAGGAACTCAATTGTGCTACCAGCATTAGCTCCATGGTTTGGCCCAGCCCTATGGTCTCGATCTTTACAGTATCAAATCCTAGAAGGGATGTGTTGTCTCCATCGGTGTTCAGGGATTTTGAGAAGTATTTGCAATATTAACACATTCCCCCCTGAAGATACATTTGAACTCTTCCAATTCAAAGGTTGGACTAGTTAATTATGATATTTCTGGGGTGAATGCAAGAGTTAATGTGAATGTTTTGCCATGATTGCTTTAATATCCATATGAGCAACACGTGCCATTAGGGCCTCTTGTGAGGTTTATCAAATTCCTGAGCAGTTGAATAAAACATGTTTGTCTCTCTTGAAACATAAAAAAGTACAAGTTGTATTGACAAATTCTTCCCACAATTCCACTTTAGACCCAAGTGGTGTGTTTCTGTTGACACAGAGGTCAGGCTATACTTGTCTGTGTTTTGTGTTAGGTGTACCCCACCTGGAGGAATGCTGGTTACCTGTCTCACTTAAATACCTGACAAGGGTCTGTTGCATTTTGATCCTGTAATTGGTAGAAATATTTGTATAAAATTTCTTCTGACAGTTGATGAAATGTTCTTAAAATATTCAAATAGAAAAGTAAAAATTGAGAAACACTGAAAAGGTCCAAACTGTTTAATCATACAATATTCTTTTTAGGTATGCACATTTTACCGGCCCATTTCTGAGTGATCTGTTGTGGCGTAGGATCTTGTCTGTTTGTCCGTCTATCATGTATTTCTTTTTCGTCCCATAACTTGAGTTTTGTCATTGTCAACAAATGTTATCAGTTAAATTTGATGTACCCGGTCGAAGGTCGAGACACACCTGGCTCTTAAAGGTAATTTTGTTGAAGGTGATCATTCAAGGTCAATTCTTACATTATGAATTACTCAGGTGTCAACTCCATACCCTTAATATTTTTAATGTCATCTTTTCCAAACTTCATTAGTTTGTGCTACCTGAGAGGTACACAAAGCTATATATAGGATAAGAGTGCTTCTCCGCTACTGACTTTTCTTATCATGTTTATATAACATTCGTTAAAGAAGAGAGGCTCACAAATTCTATACTTATGCAGGTTTTCCTGATAAGTTTATATTATTTCCTATTTATTCATACAAAGATATATGGGTTAAGGATCTTTTTAGGTAGGGAGTTATCGGTAAAACATTTTGATTCCTTCCAGTAGTGTTGTAGAAAAGTATTAAAATAAAACTACAGTAAATAAGGGCTTTATATTGTAACTTCTTTTCCGTAGTTTCTTGAGTAGCTACACAGTGTAAATAAGTTAAATTGATCCTTAACATAATGTTAAATTTATAGGTTGTTTACAGATGACTAAAGGATATCACAACCTGTGTCTAGCTGGCCTTGAGTTTGGCTACAGGTGGAGAATGATGTACAGGTGTTTCATTAACAAACATACTGGTTTGATTAATGATATATAAAACACAGACTCTCCAGTCTGATGTATAATATCTGTAAAGTACATTTTGTACAGGCCACTTTCTGTAGGGTACATGTGTGGGATATCATGATCAGTCTCTGGGTTGTAGTGTGTTGGCCTGTTACCTGGCCCCCCGCCAGGTGGCTGGTGTGTGGTATACATACACACACCTGTCTCCCAGGAAGTGGGTCCTGGGTTCGAATAATTGGCCGGAATTGTCTAGATGTAAACATTTTATCAGTAGCCCCATATCTTAACCAATACGTATATCAAATATTTATGTTTGAGAAAGCAGAAAGTTCAAGGTCAGAACAAATCTTGAAATGATTAGTCTAAGCTGCTACCAATAAAACTCTGTCAGGACTAAGATCCATGTCTGTCTATTTGTGTCTGGGCCATAACTTCTGCACTGATTAAGATCTTTAACTGAAACTTTGTACATTCTTATGATCTATGACCAAGCTGAAGGTCAATGTCATCTCGAAAGGTGAATGACCAAGACATATTTTTTGGTCCAATTTGTGTTGGGCCAAGTGTTTTTAGATGTTAGACAAATTTGTTTGAAATTTTGTTTACATGTAATTCGCTAATACTTGTATGTATCACTACACAATATTTATGAACCACCACTAGAAGTTTACATGTGTGAAAGTATTTGTATGCGTTGCCACTAAATGGTGTTACAGATAATATTCACAAAAGTTCTAAAGTGGCCCCCTTTTTCTGCTGTGTCTTCCGATAGAAGGATATTAAAGAATTAAAATTGATTTGCTGCCCCCATTGCAGCACCTGGGACCTCTATCTGTTCTTTACCTGGGACCTCTATCTGTACTTTACCTGGGACCTTTATCTGTTCTTTACCTGGGACCTCTATCTGTACTTTACCTGGGACCTCTATCTGTTCTTTACCTGGGACCTCTATCTGTTCTTTACCTGGGACCTCTACCTGTTCGATACCTGGGACCTCTATCTGTTCTTTACCTGGGACCTTTATCTGTTCTTTTCCTGGGACCTCTATCTGTACTTTACCTGGGACCTCTATCTGTTCTTTACCTGGGACCTCTATCTGTTCGATACCTGGGACCTTTATCTGTTCTTTACCTGGGACCTTTATCTGTACTTTACCTGGGACCTCTATCTGTTCTTTACCTGGGACCTCTATCTGTTCTTAACTGTACGTCCTACTGTTCTTTTCTTTCGGACTAACAAATCCAACCTGTAGAAAAGATAACTTCTGGGAATTATAACACCTTAATGAAAAATGAAATTTTACAAAAATAATCTGAAGTAATATATTTAAAATTCCAGGGGCATTCTGGTACGAACAGATGCTTTTATTACATCAAATACGTTTCAAGTTCAATGTCATAATAAAAAGTCAACTCATAATGATACATAAATTCTGAAGGATGATTGGGTAAGTTTGTTACATAAGAAATAATGAAGGTGATTTATTCTACAGGTACAAACGGAGGAATCACATTCATCGGGACATTGAGTAGTGCAATGGGCGGGGCAATAGTAGGCGTGGCTTATTACTTGACCCTGTTAATGTGTACGAGTGACTTCCAGCTACAGAAGAGCCCAGCCCAGTGGCTGATTGTCCTCACCGGGGCACTGGCTGGTCTTCTTGGCTCGACCATTGACTCCTATCTGGGGGCCTTGTTCCAATACTCAGGTAAGATTCAGTTTAGGCTGAATATAGTTGCTTCCTTTCGGGGTTTTGAGGGTGGGGTCAATAACCCTTATGACAGAACATTTTATTTCTCAAGGTCATCTTTTGAATATGCCCCACTACTTTAAATATACATACCATCAGATTCATTTGAAACTTGCTCAACATTTCCAATTTAGAACAAGTATGACTTACTAATTATTAGTAATTTGACAACAAGCCAATCTGTAAATAATTAATTAGCTGTTATTAAAATTTGATGTCGAGCAAAATTCTTGCTTAATTCTCATACTGCTGTCTGATTAGTTGATTAATTTCTGCATGAAAGCTAAATTACTAAAATATAATTGGATTGAATTGCTCGGTGGTCTGATAGTCAGATTGAGTCTGTTGTCGGAATTCAAAGGCAGCTTTCACCTGTTTAGAGGTCTGAGAGATACATTTGCTTTTGTCATAAGGAATCACTAACATGCCTTGATCCCAGCAAACTCGATTTCACACACTCCAGACCTTAGGAAAGACCGAGACTGGTTGCTTGACAAATTTTATTGAACATAATTTCTGCAAAGATCAGAATTTGTTGATAGTTATTGATGCCTCGTGCTTTCAAGGGGTTCAAAGCTTGTCATTAAAAGCTCAACTCAGCGATAACTCCTCACATGAAATGTGCTAAGTTGTGATCTGTGAGGGACAGAAGCTGTTTATTTGCGGTGCACACCGCTACCATTGTGAGATCATCGCCTGTTACACTGATGACAAATTTCCCATAAAATGTCAATGAAATGCTGAGGGGAATACTGAAGAGCGCATGAGTATGACATTGCTGTGGATGAGTTGGTGGTATGACTCACAGTTAATGCTGCGTCTAACAAGTGTGGCGTTTTACCACCTGTTTACGGTTATTGATACATGTTTGATTCCCTTGAAACATTTGACTTTATTCCCTTGAAACATTTGTTTTTAACACCAGAGATCACTCGCTATGATCGGTTTTTTGATTTACAATTGTAACTCCCGACTCTGTTCCCCATTTATTGCCAGATTGATCTGCATTTCCAATTTAAGTGTGAAATTGATTGACATCTCTGTTTACAAGCTTTTCAGGAGAGTCAATGGAAGATACAGGTCGATAAATTGAAAGAAATAGAATTTGAACTCATTTTGCCAGTGCAATCGACACACTGATAGGACTAGGCTGTGATGGAGATGTTTATAATACTATTTAATTGAGAATCTTAAAAAAAGAATAAAAGATACTTACCACTACAAAAATGTTCGGGGATCTTTACCTACGTCTACATGTTTGGGCTGTTAGAAGAAATAGATAGGACTTGATAGTAAGTTTATTTTTAATGGATTGAACTTGATATCTCTTGATACATATTTACTGTAGGGGTTTAAATAAGAAAACCCTTGTTCGAATCCAGATATATTAGTAGGGAGGGGGTTGGTCTTAGCCAAGGGACTGAAGGACTACACAAATTGTTACTATATCTAATCTGAAACATAACTGGGTAAGGTCATTTTATCTTGCATCAATGAAATGTGTACAATCACAGGGGCAAGAGGAGCATGACAAAAGCTGGGCTCAATATCAGGCAAAATTAGACAGCTTTATCTTCATGAACCTGTTCCTCCCGAACAAATGCTCAAATTAATAACATATTAAGTCTGAAACATAACTGGTGCAAGGTCATCAGACTTTGTATAAATAAAGACTGCATTTCCTGAGGCCATAGGTTCAAGCCTAAGATATAAATGAAGGGTATTTTTGCTTCAAAATTCAACTCATCATAGACAGTTTCATGGATTGTAATCATAGTTTAAAACATCACTAGGGGCAGAGTTAATGTTTTGTTTAAATGAGGAGGGTGCAGCCCCTTTGACCTGAGGTTTGACCCAAAAGAAGAGTTTTCGGGCCAAAGCTACATATATACCTAAGGACTTAATCCTTGAGTCACTGCAGGAAAACATTTGAGATCGCTACCCTATAAAAAAAATGATAGACTGAAAGAGAAAATAAACACATGGATGCTACAATGATTGGGCATGGGTCCAGTCCAACCATTGGGTACTGACTTCCTGGGTCATAACATGAAACCATTTGAAATCTGATAGCCATTTGTTCATTTGCAAGGTATAACGAGACGAATACACCCATGCTACTAGGATTTGCTTCAGGGGTTGGACCCCTCCCCTTGGGACTCTCTCCCAGGGATAAAACACAGAAACTGTTTAGCTCTTAACCCTTATACTATATATATATCGCTAGGCATGAAGTGACAAATACACTCATGCTGCTAGGATTTACCTTTGGGTTTCACCTTAGTCCTTGGTATCTACAACCTAGGTTATATCATTGAAGTGTGAAGATCCCCAATCTATAACCATACATAAAACTTGCTAGACATGAAGAGCCCAATAAACGCATGCTACCATGATTTGCGCGGTGGTCTGGCCCCATCCCTAGGGACTTACTCACTGGGCCATAACATTGAATCATTTGAAACCCAAACCCTTAAACCATATATATAATTGCTAAGCAGCCAGAAAGGTATTCAATGGTGCTGACATAATTTGCTAAGAGTTTGCCTTTGCCCTTGGGTACTTGGTTAAAAATCAGTTAAATGCCACCATATAAGCAGAAACAAGTCCCTGATTCTTAAATAATATGCCGGTACTCTGGCATGGCAACTTATTTTAGACATGACTTTAGCTTTGAAAAAGAAAACCAGACCTAGTGGAATTTATATGAACAAATAATGAAATAAACAAAATGTAACCAGTGTGTTCTGTGTATAAAAAATCTGCAGTTCCAATTCTTGGACATAAGGAAACGAGTACAATCACGACTTTGGTGTCGTGCCCGCTCCTAGGGATCGAGTCCGTGTTACAGCTTTCATTTCCTTTACTCTTTTGATAAACGTGTATGGTACTCAACAGGTTTTACAACGACAATATAGCTCCAGGTGATATGGCAAATTTGACAAATAATTGAGAAAAAACATTTTGTACTAACGCTAGGTTACACCTGTAATTTTTTCCAACTCAATAATCCTGGTATTGTTATATTGGCTGCAAGTAGGCATAGGAGGAGTTCTGTTTCGATAATAGTCCATCTTGTGTTTATCTAAGCTAGTTAACGTCTTGTCTCCAATAAACAAAAGTTAATTAAAGATCACAATCTAAATTGTTCCTATACTCTCTGACTTTTAAGATTTCCGATTGATCCTGTAAGTTCCTTTCATAATTCATGTGGTATTTGGTGGGACAATAATTGTTTCCAATCAGAGAAACATCATTAGTGACAATTTCGTACCACAGTGTTACGAGCCCCATCATCGATTGTGGCCGTATTAACCATGTTGATATTGCGTGGTGACAAAATAATTAGCCATTTATCTTAACACTATTTGTGTTATTTCCTCAATGACTGAAATCCTAATTCACTTCTGTATTTCTGGATTATAATAATACATATTTATCATTCCAAATTAATTTCCGTCTACAGACTCGTGTGTTCCCTATCGATCCAATCACTTTTAGAGAGGGGTGTTTGTTGATACAATCTTTATCACAGACAAAATAGAACTAGGTCCTCATACACTTTGCTATCATTTGAAGATTTATTTTAGATTTCATTTAGAAATGAGATTGATTTTGTCATGTGTAGAATGGTTATTAGCCACACCTTAGATGAGGAATTGTAGCAGAAATCTGACCAGGTCTACGTGTAGCCCGGCACCAGCGGCGTGGCTAGCTCGCACTGGTACCGATCTGATGTTAGGGACAAGGGTGGGGTCCCTCGGCCCATTGTCACTGACATGATTACCTTTGTTGGGTATCATGTGCCGTCGTTTATATGGCGTAATTTGTTCAAATCTTAGCAGTATTAGTCCTGGGAATGGACAGGTAAATGATGGCTGTTTGAAAACATCTTTGAGGGAAACCTTGAGATTTGTTCCTGGCCACTGATGGGGCAACGTTGATTATGTTATGTTGTTGTTCACGAAGCAAGTGTAATGATTAACGATTCTTTGACATGATTGATCTGTGTTGAAGTATTATTTCCCCGTACCAAGTCAATGTTCTGTGTCGCCAGTTTATTTTCGGGATCAAAGAGAGTTGATATGATTGATTTATGAAATATAACTGGACTGACTGATTGTTGATAATCTCTAATATCAAACTGAATATGTCACAGATAATGGGCTATATATGACAGGGAACCAATCCGGTTCACGATAACATCTGACCCAGCAGATACACACACAACGGGACATTTACGTAACCCATCTAATTAGGTTTTCTTGTCACGTAGGTGTGGCACTGTCGACAATGGTTAATGTACAATTATATTATAATCGACTATATTTAGGCCTAAGTAGACTGAGTTTCATTAGCTTCTGAAAATCACCGATACATAATGTGGAATAATTCTAAAGTTCAAGTAAAAACCTCAAATTGAAACATATACACTGAATGTAATTGAATTAACGTGTTTGAGACTGTGTAAAAATACGGTCACAGTTGTTTACCATCCTATGTAAACAAAACATGTTTAAACATTTTCATATTCATATGTTGTTTTTACTGTTGGATTTTCAGCAAATATATTTGTATATGGCTTCATGTGTTTTGACAATCAATGTTTTTGTCGTTAATGTGACTCAAAAACTTCTAATCAAAATTTGTGTTTTGTCAATCCGGCTTTAATCTCAAGGCAATTAATGACAATAGAGATTGATCGGTTTTACCATGTAAAGGTTCATTCATGTACATGTTTTTATTTTTAGGTGATGACGTACATTTTAACTGGGGGAAATCTTACATACACAAATGGTATTTTTATGAATCAGAAAGGATCAGATTGCATGTTTGTAGCAAATCAACAAGACAAACCAAAGTTTGATGGTTTATATTAAAGTACTGAAGCAATTAATTATAATACATCAAACATCAAAAATACCATTAAATGAGGCAAGCCCATTCAAATGACCAAGCTTAGTTCTTTCAACTACGAATGTGCTGGTTTTTACCTGTTGAATTGGGTTTGACGTAAACATGTTTTTTATTTAACCGACATATACATTCTGAAGCTTGTATGGTGCGAGGGTAGGTTGGTAATGGTAGCATCATCTGTACAATGTTTTCTCAGATGCAGACATCATCCTGATGTGTTCGAGTGCATTTTTCGTTAATTACATTCGGTATGATAATACCCCATAAAGAAGCACGTCATCTGTCAATACTCTCAGAGATTTTTGAGCCATTTTTAGACAAATGTTTGCTTTCATTCCCAACGGAAAATAGTTGCGTTTTTCCGAAATCCTTAAAAAGTCAAACCTTTTCACCCCTTTATCTTGAAGTTGTATAAACTGACAGCAAATATGTCGATGATTTTTTTTTTTTTTTTTGATGATGGATTTTTCTATGGACATCTAGGATCTTTTCCTGATCACCCAGAAAAAGCCCCGAGTTTGATGTGCATACAATTCAACAAAGTGGATAACTAACGTTTAAAGGGCTACATATACATTATTGTGTGATATGATGCTAAAAGGTATACTCCTAGTGACGCAAGGTGCGAGTTCTATATCGTATGCTTTTTAAAGATAAACTTGGGAACGTATTTTACCCGTTCACACAGAATATGTCCGTCTAACTTATGGTAGAAGAGTGTCTGGCTGGATAGACTGTCAGATTGTATTCACTAGATCTACAATCTAAATTATAGTTGTTGATGTTTTTGCAAGAGGGATTCCATTTCTGTACCTTTTAAATTGTTTTGTACCTTGCACAAAATTATATTAATGAGAAGATTACGTTGAAAGTTGATACAGAGTCATCGGTGCTGTCTATCGTTTTGAATAAAATGTATTAAATGGATAGGTAAACCTGATGTAAAAAGGAAAAAAATGGAATCAATCAATTTATATATATAAAAACAATCAGAAACAAAAATATATATTAAACATGCAGCACTCCAATGCAAATTCAAGACAGTTGATTGAATAAAGATCAATGCAGTACTTATATCATGTAAACGGTTTTAGAATAAAATATTCCAGCAAAATTACATATTCCAATTTAATACATTTCTTACCCTGATAGGATTTCACCGAAAAAAGAACTGCATTGTGGAACACCCTGGACCGGATGTTGAGTTTATCAGTGGGTCGGATGTGTTGGACAATCACAGTGTAAACTTACTGTCATCACTCTTAACGGGACTGCTCACGCCAAAGATCGCCTTCTACCTGTGGCAGAGTGTGATGTAAAGGTGATTGGCAGAGCTGCAACAAGGATCTAAAAGATTTGATATTTCATAAAATAAGGATCATTTTAATTCGTCTTGCATTTGAAAAGAAGTACTCATGAAAATCAAAATGATGCAACTTGTGGAGGCAAGATATTGTAAACGGGAAGAAGAAAAACAAATGTTTATTCCAGTTTTACTCTCGACATTTTTTTTAATTTTAAACAGAAATGATGTTTTTGCATTAAGGTTGAATTCATGATTGATGTTCATTGCGATTTTATGCAAAACGTCTATTTTGATGCCCTCTGGTAATCATGATATTGCCTAGTCCTGTTTCTTATGATATTAATTATCTCTGTTCTAAATGAAGCATTTTACATATACATACGTTATTAAAGTAAGTATTCTTTATTTGACAACAACTATATTAGCTCACCTAGTGGGAAGTTAAGTGAGATAATTTTTGTGTCGTGGTATGGCTTCTGCAGTGATGTCGTGGTGTAGTGCCTGACGACTGTCGTCAATTTTTCTTTGAAATGACTGCTCCTTTAGTATGGCTGAATGAATATTGATGTCACATCAATATCTTATACGAAAAGGATTCAGTTTATTTGTATAAACGAAGGTAATAGTTCCTTAAAAGATAAAGGGACAAAATTGAAACAATGATCTTCAGAGATAGGCAAACCCTGAGGTGAGGGATTTATGCCAATATGCATCTTGCAAAATTACAGCTTTTTGTTTTATCTGTTTTTGTAAATGTATTGTGCCAGTTTTATTCTGTTTAAATTTAATACAGTTATGTGTGAAGACATTTAAGAAATGCCATTTTCAAAATTACAAAGCGTTATGCAATATTAATTTATATGTTCCATGCATTTATATGTATATTTTTTCACTAATACATACTTTTATGTATATGTTAATATGTGGACCATATATACGAATATATTGGTGCAATATTCACTGTGACTTGCATTTCATATTCCAGTTACAGGCGTTAGAGAATCCAATATATAGTAGAGACTTGTTCATCCAGCCATAACTAATTCGCTCGTCCTATTATCCATACACTACTAATTTGGTTTTCCTACTATTTACATTTTGTTTTAGGGGACCTATACGTCTTAATATTCATATTCTTTTATATCTAGCCGTCTCATATTTTAAACAAATTTGCTTGGAACGAATGTGACTGGATTCGCCAGGTTTCGCCAGGTTCAACTTTAATTTTATATAAGAAGTGATTTATTAAGATTTTATCATGCTTTAAAATGATTTAATATATAATATGTTGAGACTACGTGATTAACGGTTGAGTGTCCATTATCGTTTCGTTTGACTGTTAATCAATATGGTTTTTCATTGGAATTATTTGGTATTAGTTCTAATTTTGTGTAGTTTCAAATGGAAACATACATTTTTTGCAGAAGTCCTTTTACGAATACCCCATTTCGAAAAGTAAATCAAGAGTGAAATTAAGCCAACCATTAAATGTAACAAACCCATTTTCATCAACTACGAATAACTTGTTAAATTACAATTTAATTTTATAATGCGGTTCTCAGTGTAAAGCTTTTTAAAGGCACATAAAGAATCCTTAGAATTTAGATTAATACATCAAATATATATAAGTGTACATTACAGTGCAAAGTTTTCTTTAACAAAAACATATTAGTTTAAGAAAACACATTCTTATCAAACATTTTATCACAAAAACAAGCTGAGTATTTCGATACAATCAAAGATATGAAAACATGTTCTTTATCTTTGGAAGTAGATTTTCACAAATGGTCATTGTCCACACTACAGAACTTCTAAATGGAATTAAGTAAAGGTCATGCTTTCTTTTCAGAAACGTTTATACGTTGCACATACCTTTCAGTATGATAAACATCGCCAGGAATTCGAATTACTGATGTACTTTTTACGGTTAACCTCTCCATTATCGGGCCATATGTATACATCTAGGAAATGATCCGAATGCATGTACATATGTACAACAGAGCGATACAAACCTGTTAAGTGCTTTGTACCTGTTACCTGCGGATCAGCTGCGTTATTATTCTACATTCATCAGGGAAGAAGAAATTGTGAGGACTTTGTTCTGCTGTTGTATTACCTAGGTCATTTTTCTCACCCCAACACATATACGATATTTCCTGATAAAACGATAATTTTTTTACCCGATTTCTTGTAACTTTAATCCAGTTAATTAGCCTTCGATTTCAATAGCACTCCTTACAGCCGAGTGAGGGTACATACCTGTGAGGGCTTACGGGTGTCGGCGAGATAAGATCAGTGCCGCTACTTGTGAAGGGATTTAGCCAGCTGTATCGGAGGTACAGACGCTCACTGTGTTTACGGTAATTCAGGACAGATCACATGTGATGGGGCAGCACAAAAAGACTTTCATTTTTACTTGATTACTTATCGGATTCCATACTACAGGTGAATAGAACTCAGTCTTAGTGTTTGAAGTTGATGTATATCACGTTTATTCAGCCTTGATCAGATTCCCTTCTGCAACAGATCAAATGCTGTGCTACATCATATATACTTATATCATTTCTTTTTATGCATAGCCATTTCATAAATTAATCAGATTCTTCTTAAGACAAATTAAGAATTATGTCAGTATCGAGGTTATTCAAACAAAGAAGTTTTCTGGAATTATGAAAACCTTATATTCTCAAATACGTAAATAAAGCCAAAATCTCGAAAATACATTTCAATTCTTGATATCAAAAATGGTATTAGAATTAACTAGATAACTTTAAAGTAAAAAGGCAGATAACATGTCAAAATAACTGTACTATCCAGAGAGTCAATTGACCGAAAAATAAGCAGAATGAAAAAGAAATTAGATTGTATAACATCAACCTCACAAAGGCAAAAGTATTCGGTCACTATTTTTTTTATTATATTATATTCTATGTATATTCCGAATAATTTATATAAAATATACAGTTATATAAAATAATTGTAAGATGTTCCGTGTCTAAGTAAGTAAGTACTTGTGAATTAGATGGTAGGTTTTGTATTTTAACGTCAAAGTGATGTCGCTGAAAAAGAATAGTCGCTGAAAAAGAATACTCACAAGAACAATCATTTTTTTCCCGTGGACTAAGGTTCATGGAATTTATGCAAATATTGTTAAAATACATGTTAAATATGTAGACTGATTGACACATTGGATCAGAAATAGTTCTTGTAAAAATTAGAATTACCCAGAAAATACATGTAGTGAAGGACAAATGAGTGCCTTAATACGTATGTATTTGAAGACCGATTTGTCAAAATGAGCTCTGTGGTGTATGTTATGAAATGATGAAAGGAATTAAATGGTTTTTGTAATGTTTACCAGATTTTCATGATACTCAAACATTAATACTTATTTCTAAGGTTATTTTGTTGAGATTGTCAATTACTTTACTGTTAAAAAGGTAATGGTTGATATACCGTAACTTATTGTTTGTCACTTTTTGTACGGTAGAAGAGATCGTTGAAAAGAAAATGCTGATCATAACACAAATAAGATTAGGATAAATGGTGCTATAACATCGAATATTTTTTTATTGAATACTGTAATCATCCTTTTTAGCTCATGTGGTCCGAAGGACCATGGTGAGCTTATGCCATACCGCAGCGTCCGTCGTCCGTCCGTCCGTCGTCCGTCCGTCAACTTTTCCTTTAAAACGCTACTAGTCCTGAACGGCCAAGTAGATTTTGACTAAATTTGGTCTAGAGTATCCTTAGGCCAAGGGGACTCAATTTTGTATAAACGGTGGGTGTGGCCCCCCTGGGGGCAGAAGGGCAGGGGCCAATAGGAGAAATAGAGGTAAAACCTTGAAAATCCTTCTTCTACCGTAGGGATTAAAGGATTTTATTCTTATTTAGTCTGGAGCATCCTTGGGCCAAGGGGACTTAATTTTGTATAAACGGTGGGTGTGGCCCCCCCTTGGGGCTGGGGGGCGGGGCCCAATAGGGGAAATATGGCAAATTCTTTAAAATCCTTCTTCTTCTGTAGGAATGCAATGATTTGTTCCATATTTGGTCTGAAGCATCCTTGGCTTAAGGGGAACTAATTTTGTATAAACCGTGGGTCTGGCCCGCCAGGAGCCTGAGAGGTGGGGTCCAATAGGGGAATCATAGCAAATTATTCTTTAAAATCCTACTTTTTCTGTAGGAATGAAAGGATTTGTTCCATATTTGGTTTGGAGCATCCTTGGGTGAAGGGGAACCAATTTTGTATAAATGGTGGGTCTGGCCCCCCTGGGGGCTGAGGGGCGGGGCCCAATAGGGGAAATATAGCAAATTCTTTATATCCTTCTTCTTCTGTAGGAAAGAAAGGATTTGTTCGTTATTTGGTCTGAAGCATCCTTGGGTGAAGGGGAACCAATTTTGTATAAACCGTTGGTCTGGCCCCTCAGGGGCCTGAGGGGCAGGCCCAATAGGGGAAACATAGCAAATTATTCTTTAAAATCCTTCTTTTTCTGTAGGAATGAAAGGATTTGGTTCATATTTGGTGTGGAGCATCCTTGGATAATTTTGTATAAACGGTGGATGTGGCCCCCCTGGGACCTGAGGGGTGGGGTCTACCATATGGATTGAGGGATTTTATCCTAATTTAGTCGGGAGCATCCTTGGACAAAAGGGACTCAATTTCGTATAAACAGCGAGTGTGGCCCCCCTGGGGACAGAAGGAATGGGTCCAATAGGGGAAACATAGCAAATTCTTCAAATACCTTCTTCTTCTGTACGAATGACAGGATTTTGTCCAAATTTGGTATGAAGCATCATTGGGTGAAGGGGAACCAATTTTGTATAAACGGTGTGTCTAACCCCCCTGGAGGCAGAGAGGCGGGGCCCAATAGGGGAAATAGAGGTAAAACCTTTAAAATCCTTCTTTTACCATAGGGATTTTATCCTAATTTAGTCTGGAGCATCCTTGGGCCAAGGGGACTCAATTTTGTATATGCAGTGGGTGTGGTCTCCCAGGGGGCAGAAGGGCAGGGGCCAATAGGAGAAATAGAGGTAAAACTTTTAAAATCCTTCATCGAGATTAAGGGTTTTTTGCTATATTTAGTCTGGAGCATCCTTGGACCAAGGGGTCTCAATTTTGTATAATTGGTGGGTATGACCCCCCTAGGGGCATAAGGGGTGGGGCTCTGTTTGAAGTTTGTTTTCGCTATATCTCAAGTACTGGATGGATCTTTCTGAAATTTCATATGCACTTACAGCACCTACCATGGAGTGCTATATCTTTACTTCATACAAATTATTTTAAACAAATTCAGGTCCTCTGGGCCTCTTTTTTTTTGTTTTTTTGTTGTTGTTATTTGTAAAATTCATTATCCCCTCGCAACGAAAGTTCGATGATAAGTGATGCCTTGTTATTATATAAATTTGCATTTCCTCTAAAAAACTGCTTTATTGTCTCGCCTTCGACGGATGTCAACGAGGCGGGACTTAGATATTACTCTTCCGGCGGCGTCAACGTCAAGTGTTTGCGTTTAGCTCTGTTTCTCAAACAGTATAAGCGCTAGATCAACCAAACGTGTACCATACATGCGTCTTAAATACTTTACCTCAATCCATACACCGGTTGCTGAATGTGCCCTACATCTCGCGGTCCAGTGACTTTGACAGCATCTTCATTAATGTTAAGTTTTTGCGTTTAGCCGTGTGTTTTATGCTGTATTTTAAATATTTAAAGTTTTAGACCAACTTAACTTGGATTGTAGTTATTTGAGACATAGTGCATTTCAAATCATGCAGCATATGCTAAATGTGGCCTATATTTCACGGTCCAGTGACTTTGTCAGCATCTTCGTCAATGTTAAGTTTTTGCGTCTAGCTCTGTTTCTCAAAACGTTTAAGTGCTAGACCAGCCAAACTTGCGTCTTACATGCGTCTTGTATACATATCCCATGGATTATAAACCATGCATGATATGTTGAATGTGGTCTACATTTCCCGGTCGAGTGACTTTCATAGCATTTTCCTCAATGTAAAGTGTTTGTGTTTAGCTGTGTGTTATATATTGTATCTCAAACATTTAAAATGTTAGACTAATTGATTTTAGACTGTAAGTTGGGATGATCATTACCATCTTTATGGTTACAACCTCAATGTTTTAACAGAATCAGACAACACACATGGCCGCAGTATACTGGCTTCTGATTGGTCGAAATTCAGAAATTGTATGCTTTTGCTCAAATTTTATATGTAAGTGTATTTTGTCACTGCGAACTCAGCCGTAAAATCTGCTTTCTAATTTGACATAATGGCCACCTTATACTGGCTTCTGATTGGTTGAATTTCAGTTATTGTTCGATTTCAATCAAGTTTGGTAAGAACATGTATTTTGGCACTGCGAACTCAGCCGCAGCATCCGTTTTCTGATTTGACAAAATGGCTGCCGTGTTATGGGTTCTGATTGGTCGAAATTCAGTTACTGTACGATTTCGCTAAAGATCAGTATGTAAGGTCGCCGTATATTAGCTTCTGGTTAATCGAAATTCAGATATTGTTAGATTTGGCTCAAATGGTATTTATATGTATCTTGGCATTACACACTCAACAGCTACTTCTGTTTCCTGATTTGGCAAAATAGTCCACTTATACTGGCTTCTGATTGGTCTTAATTCAGTTATTGTTCAATTTCAGTCAAATTTGGTATATACATGTGTTTTGGCACTGCAAACTCAGTTCTGATTGGTCTAAATTGGTCACAACTTATACATGCTAATGTGTATTTTGTTCAATATGTTTATAACCAGATTGGTTTTCACAACATAGTCCCTGTTAAATATATGCATTTCATAATAAAGTATCACTATAGAAAATGAGTTATCTTGTTATATATGTTTTAAGTGCATTCACAAACTTGCTTTTATACGGTTACTGTTGTAGTAAATTAAATATAAAGGCTGTAAACATTTTGAGAAAATTTCAAATGATGAGTTGCTAAGTATAATTGCACATTCTCTAACTAAATGCTTTTGACTTTATTCTATCCAAAAGTCTCTTTCGATCGGAGTACAATATGCCTACTCTCTCAGATACTGTATAACATGAAATGTTCGTTGTGTATAAACATTCGTGCTTTTAACCACGAAAATACAAACAACAAAGAATGGTATACGTGTCTACTGTTTGTTAACATAGACTATCCACGAAAGTTTGTACCAAGAAAAGATCTTAATGGCTTCACGCAGGAAAGTCCCCACGAACATTTCGTGTTGTACCGTAAGCTCCACCGCAATGCTGTTCTCGTACTTTCCAGTATCAACGTAGTCATCGTTCAATCCTTGTTGAAGAAGCCTGGCGTCTACAAGAACGAAATGAAGAACTACGTACCTGTTTCAAACGTGTCTTTATTATCAAAAATCTTGGAAATCTGGTTTTCAAGCGAATTAATAAACATCTTGATGAAATTTTTCTCCGCGACAACCTGCAATTGGTAACGTCCATGTTTCTCAACAGCGGGTACTCTTCAGCGAGTACACGTTGACATTGCCACAGCCTTAGACAAAAATTGTTAGTGACTAAGTGCTGCTAGATGTATCTGCTGTTTTTGACATATTTGACAATGGCACATTATTCAAATACCTTGCATATGCAAACGGTACATCTGCTGCTGCAATTTCTTTGGTCAGGTCACATCTCATGATTAACTCTTGACTTTAGGGTACTGCAACGACCTGCGTTGGAACTAAGACCTAGGAATAGGAATAGCGAACTGTCTCTTTCCGAAACAAAATGAAGACATCTGTGGCAATTGCAATTTTCCTGTTGTTTCACTGGCCCAGTTCAAACGGTCATCAGACATCTTGAAAACTTGGAATCCTGTTGGCCTCTACTGGTGGATTGAGATCTAATATGTTAAAATTCAAAATAAATAAAACAGAAATCGTTGCTCCAAACATCAGAAAGGGAGTTTTTCCATATCATGATTATTAGTTAATCTGTAAGTTCGTGATCACAAACACCTGCAAGACACTTGTCTATGCATTGGTGACAAGGGAATGTCCTGTTCAATGGAATTAAACCAGTCACCGGACTGCCATTTACGTGTTTACCTCTTATAAAACGTACACGGAAGTCAGCAGAAGACTGTCCCAAGTACAAACTTGTTTTGTATGTTTTCGAGAGAGAATTCGTACTAGCATATGTTCCAACAATACCATTACGACTACAGTCTGGTTGTATACTGACTGTTCCGAAAAACTATACCGACATTTTTGGAAATCTTATGTTTTATTACATGAGCAGCACTTGGGATATGTGGATCGTTTACCGTTTACAAGATTTGTTTGGAAATTTAACATCCTCGTAGCAGCTTCGGTCATATAAAGACGGGGACCTTCGGAGGCTCAAACCAAACAAAAGAGTAGGGAAGTGAAATAAGAAAACATCGGAGTTTCCAAGTGATGTAATGACGCATGTCACCTAAGCTGAAGACGCAGAAGAAAATTCCCATGTTAGACAAATTTTGTTTACAAGCGATCTTTGAGAAATCAGCTCTTTAAAACCGTATATTGCATTGGTTTCTTTTCAATATGTGAAAGTGGACGTTTCAGATCTATTTTTTATGTAAAGCGCTATATATAATTTTTATAAATTAAGAAGTATTATACCAAATCTGTAAATGATTATTAATAAATGTGACACTCAAATTAAAATGCTCGAGAATAAATCATTAGTGTTGAAAGGGGACTTCACATACCACTCCCTACACATGTTAAGAGTTCAAGTGACACTATAGGTTTAACCCTAGTGATGTCACAACCTATTATTAGACATGGATGTAGTTGGATTCAATAAATCAGTAAACCCCACTGACTACATTTCATATGCGAGTAACCAAAATGTGCAGCGCCTATGGATCAACTTGTCATATGTCTTCTTAGAATTTTTAGATGATAATGACAACTATTGTATGAATGAAATGCAGAGTAAAAGCTCTGGTCTAGCGGACATTATGAAATACACTGTAAGAACGCAGCGATTCAATGAAAATCGTACAGTTAAAACAAAAAAGGGACTTTAGAATCTTCAAAAATTGTAACAATACACCACGAGGGTAACACTGTAGCAGTGTTAACAATGGTACACTAAGGATAGCTAGAATTGTTATGTATAAACAAAATTTTCGTTCTTACAAAGTATTAAAATATGTTTTTCAATAATTCATTATTTCAATTTACAAATCTTCTGCGCCAGTTATCGCCGCCATATTTGGAAATCTGTTAACCACGGAAAGAAGCGTTGTTAGTATTGGCTAGGGATCGGACGTGAAAAGGTATGGGGTCACCTTCCCGAACACGTGGGTTTTCTCAGGGTNAATAACTTGTTTCATAATTGTTGTAAAATAAAAAAAAGTTTATATAGATATCAAGGGTCAAACGACGTCACTCGAAGTGTTGAAACTTGGGGTTGTAGAGCTCGGGCTTTTGAGTTTCGATCTTTATATTTACCAAAAGTATCGAGGTGTGGCAACTGATAGTTTTAGCGTGTAACATTATACTTTACGGCATATTCTGTCTTTGTAGTCCACTATGGTGTATTTGTCACTGCGTGTTAAAAAAAATTGTCCTTGATCATTGACGCTGTACATTATTTGACATTGCTAAGCTTACTAACAACATTGCATTAAAACTTCAAATGGGAAAAGCCATATTTTCGTGTTTTTTTACGATTTTTTTTACATAAATTCAATACTGATAATAGTGACTTTGTATTGTTGGAAACTATTAAAATCTAAAGCAATTAGAAATTATGTGTTTTTTTAAAATTTTGAATACGTTAAAAAAGGTTTTGTTCTTAACGTCCTCAGGTAATCATACTGTACTAGTTATTGCATTTCAGTGAGGTATCATCCTTAAGTCGGCATCAGATCCTGACTTTCATAACGAGGCAAAAACACCAACATATTTCTGCCAGACCACTTGTATACATTATACTCGTGGAGGCATGTCCTTAAATGACCTTAACTGTTAATAGGATGTTAAACCCTATAGAACCGAAACCAATCAATGCGAATTGAACAATTGAAAAGGTTTTCTGACATACAACTTATTTCAACTTTAACACCCACACCTGCAGTTTTGTCTAATATTTCCAGCTATGACAAGCTTTCTGTATTTAGAGGGCGCCCACGATTATTTGTTAGTTTGGTTGATATATACAAGAAGAATCAGTTGGAGAGAGTAGTGTTTCGTTGATCCCTGGACGTCTGATGGCATCTTAAAACATCTACCTCCCAGCAAGATAGTACAGTAAATATGTAATGATTTTGAAATATCTTTGTGATGTGAATAAAAAGAAAAAAACTGCTTATTTTGACATACTGTGATAACATTACATGAAAAAAATGGCTTATCCTTTTGGCATCTTTCATAAAGGGTTGTGAACACTTGTTTGATGATATGAATTTCTCAACTTTTTATGACATGTTAATATAAGATTGTCGATTCGCTCCGAGCTGGCTTTGATGTAGGTGCGACTCCCTAGTCCAGGGATATGTAGAGATGCTGGGGTACTTAGGTATGTCACTTTCCTATAACACACCTTATCCGCAACCCTCTGATGTCCTAATCCCTGCATCAGCTAGAAGATCTCATTGATTTCCGTCTATTGCGTCTTGGTGCAAATCATAAAGCTGGTATTTCATGATAGCTATTCCACCGATATATCTGACCGTGTTATCGGATAAACATTGCCGTAGTACCTCATGAAGTGATCCGAATACAAGAATCATGAAGCTATTTTCACTCGGCAATCTTCCGGTATTAACACTTTCCACACATCAAAGTTAGCATATACAATGCTTATAATATCAATACTGCTACTATGTATGCAAGTAAGGAAAATTTGAAAATTTGGTTTGTAAATAAATGTATATATAATTGTGTTTACTTGTAATATTGTATAAAGTAGGAGGTAACCGCACGTGGCGATTACATAAACAGATAAAGCGAGTAGGTATCTGTTCGATAAAATCCTATTCATATAAAACGAAAATCGACTAAAGCTACTTATCACAAGAATGTACTTCAGCATGTGTAAATAGCCTTAACTGCTGAGTACGTGAAGAGTTACCGCCTACTCCCACCCACAACTCTGTTCTACATCATCGTTAATTATATAGTTCAAAACTATCTTCAAAGAGCCCTGATGAATACGGCTTTATTAGGATATTTCAGGGGAGGAATTTAAATGAAAAAGATAGCACTTGACTTTTGGATGACGCTCACCTACTGTTCAACATAATGACTTGTCAAATATTCCCTCCCCCTCCCAGTATGCCCGTACGTCTGCTCTCAAACGCCAACTTACTTAACACGCGAACTGACACTTAAGTTATTACGTACTTCAGCCTAATCGATTAGCTCTGTCAATAAATGACAGTGGTAGTATTCGTGGCGGTCGACATTCCAGCCCCCACGCCGAGACGCTATTTACCATAGAACCATACAACCCACTGTCATAGGACACCGCAGTGTCCATATTTGTAAGGATTTTTACTTTTCTGTTTTTGCAGCTCAGAATAACCTTTACATAAAATGTTTCATAGTACAGTTTTTCTTTTAAAGATGTATCTTCAGGAGACCTCTGTGACAGAAATGAAAGTAATTTCACTTGATTGGTAAATGAGCTGACATTTTAATTCATGAATGAAAGTAAAATGATTTCGGCATCTAAGAACGTTATTTTCTATCTCCATATAACCACATACTTGCTGTGATGGATTTCTCCATATTCTACTGAAAATATATTGATTCGTTACATAAGTCATTTGTACTGCTTTGAGAGTATTTCTTTTACTGTTAAAAGTAAAATTGTTTGTAGGTTATATGCACTTTTTTCAGAAGTATGCCGTATAAAAAAAACTGTGATACTTTTTACAGAATTATAGATGTTCGAAATATGAGTATTTGAAAACAAAAAGTAATAATAACGATAATAGAAAAAGCGTACGGGTCGAACCAGGAACATATCCACTGACTTTTCTATTATTTTTACAAGTTCTATGAATGCATTATAAATGCAAAGCATCAAAATGAGATATGAATTTCTTGGCAACGAAAGCAACTTTTAAGCTAGGTTCTTATTTTAAATGAAGAATACAAAAATTCGAAACAAAAACTCTTATGTAGAACCCTTCTTTGAATATAACACTACTACAGTGCTATGTGTGCCCTTTACGTTAAGCCATTTTTCTCACGAATATAGTTATTAGTTTACATATTTTGTTGCTTATTTATAGAAATATTAACAATAAATTAAGGATACTAACATTGCCATACAAATATTTGGTTTGTTAGTAATTTAAAACAAGAAATAACTCCATTTACAAAAGAGAGTATTTTTTATTTTGATGCATTTTAACAAGCAATAACTTAACAAGTCTGACATTTGCACAACATCACACAAAATATATATAAATAACGCCACGATATCATAGCATTGTATAGCCACAATCACAGACACTGAGATACAATATGGCGGCAGCAAACTTGGAAGTCAATATAAGATTTGATGGTTCGATCATAAATATAATTATGATTATGAAAGGGGCTACTACAATAAATTCTAACTATTAAGAATTAAATATATTATTGATAACGACAGCTCCTTTTTATGAATTTCACATTCCATTAAAGAGATTTTCCCTTTTTTAAGGACCATTGCTATTGAGCCCACTCCTATCCCGACCCTAATAATGTCTAGGTATAAGACACATTGTACTCGACCATTCATAGGCTAAGCATATGAACCATAACATTCCTGGCCATTTATATTTGTAGTTAACCCCATATTTCTATGGTTTGTTCCATGTACAGTTAACCCAAAACTCCGAATATGTTGTTACCCCCACAGGTACCTGGCCTGTTGTTTGTGTTTAATCCCACATATTCCACGCTTTTAATATGTGTTTTACCTCAAAACTATCTTGCTTGTCCTGTCTATTCTTAACTCTCAACTCCCTAGCATTTCATGTGTTGTTGCCCCCCGCAAGTACAATTCCTGTGTTGTGTGTTTTACCCCACTTATTCATCGCTTACAGTATGTGCTTTTTCGCACTTCAGTTTGACTTGACCTGTCTATGGCTAACCGATAACTTCCTAGCTATTTAAATGCGTTGTTACCCCACAAGTACCTGGACTGTTGCGCGTATTTTAACCCATTATCGCTCGCTTGCAATGTGTGTTTTTCTGGTTTATACTCTCAACTAACCCTGGCTGCTTGTCATATGTGTTGTAATCCCCACAAATAATTCACTTGTTTTGTGTATTTTACCCCACATACCCCTTGCTTGCAATGGGTTATCCTGTCGATTCTCAACCGATAACTCCTTTATCCCACATGTCTCTCGCTTGCAATTTGTGTTTTACCCCCATAACCCCCCTGTCCTGTCATATGTGATGTTAACCCCACACGTCCATTGATTGTTGCCTATATTGAAGCCGTCAAATCTTTTAATATGTGTCATGACCCCAAAACTACCTGACGTAATGACTTAATACATTGGATGATAAAAGTGGCCCTTTATTTCAAGTAAGTATTGCTATACAATATCATACAAAACGGATTTGTTTTCAATATTTCTTACGTGTAAGAATTGTTAACAGAAGTCGAAAAGGAACAGTTGGACTGATATGTAAAAGTACATCATGACTATCAATAGGGGAATTATATAGCTATGACATTTAACGATCATTTAACAATTTTGGGATTGATCACACATTGAGAGGGATATGTATGTTGGTAAATGTGTGTACGTCCTGCTATTGTGAACCGTCTTTGCTAACTAAAACGTTTGCAATGAATGCTGATATTGGTAAACACAAATCGATCTTAGACACGACTAAATTACTCCTATGTACAATACTGATGTTTACCACATATTTTTACATTCTATGACAAACATTTTGCCTTTTTTTAACGGGAAGGGGGTAGATAGTCGTGATTGAAAAAATATCAGTCAGTCCCTTCTGTTACAGACGCTTAGGTCTGGTATTGAGAAATACAATAGTGCCTGAACGTTATTACTAGACCATCATGTCCCTAAAGTTACTAATAACACAAATAATGACCATTAGACTACAATATCCAACATGTTGCAAATCCAGAGTACTGTCAATATCTGAGTTCACATGTTAGTGAAATCGACATCTGATATGATACATGATGTATTGAATGTAAACATCTATTATGAAAAAATGGCAAACAATAATACTGTAAAATGCGTTCTTTTTCAGTCCAAATAATATTATTGATTTTTCAAGTTGAGGACACTGCTTATTATACAGTCCCGTCTTAATGTAAAAAAAATATTTCAGTAGAGGACCAGAAATCAGCCACGTGTCATTGTGTAAATAACTCTCTAAAATTATATGCATACTATAACAATTAAAATACATATTATAATTGTTCTTTAATAACTTGAATTTAATGAATATTTGAAATATTTATGATGTACCGCTGTTCAATATGTATATTTATACTGCAAAAATTCTCATTTTCGTATAGCTATTAGTTTTATCTTTTTGCGGTTGATGTTTATTTCCGCAAAAAACTGATCAATTAGTTTTTTTAGACAATTAACAATGTTTTTTTTATCGTAAACATAAACCTGCGAACATGAATCTCGATAATTATGAGTTTTTGTGCAAACTGAACCAACCAACGAAAACCAGAACATTTACAGTATTTTATTTGGGATCAAGGTTATACGTAACAAACATATGCATTTTACAATAACAATTATTTCTTTGATGTCAACAAAATACATGGTACAACATGGTAATTTTCAACAGTTTGTATACATCCAAATAATTATGTACATATAAATTATCAACATGATCTAATTAACCAACAAGTCTGTATCAGGTATAACTATTCCAATATGGTATACCTTAAGCGCTGATTACATCAACACAAAACTATCTCCATCATCGGTTTGTGTGTACAATACATCTCTTATATATATGACGTAGCACACATTGTTTAATGCGTCATTCGTTTACCGACTGATATACGATACTGTGTAAACTAGTGTTTCTTTTCAAGAAGAATTTCCTTTGTCGACACCTAATTGGTGTTATATATGATCTCCTAGAGACATGTCCGATGTCCTTACATTGGTGCTATTTAAAACACAACTGCATAACTATCGGTAATCGGGGCTTGTTCACCATGGAAACAGGTCCGCTGTATACATTTGGTCTCAGAGTTAGTTTACCATGCATACACAGTTCCACTGTATGCATTTAGTGTCAGAGTATTAACACAACTTTATAGATATAATACTACAGCACTGGTTTATCACCAATATCTCGTCGACAGGTTTAATTCTAGATGTGAAAACCACTACATTGATACACATTATGATCAGTTTGCTTTCTTTTTATCCACTATTTGATGCACCCTTTTAAATCTTTTCACACGAATATTCACAAGAAATGCAATAACCGTTGTGGTTACAGAAATATTTGGTGTAGGCTCCTCATGAACAGTTGGATCACAATTGTTTTCAGTAAAGAAGAAATCCAACATTGAGAGGCTTCCCTTCTAGAAAAGTCTGGGATGGAAGGAAATTAAGTTCTGATAAGTATCAGACATGATAACCTCCCTTTTTTCGACGTCATTTCCGTCGCCATGGCGATGCATCCTTTGATTTGTATTCGGACTGTGAAAGGAGTTTCGTTATCCAGAGAGCGGTTGGTAAGGATTGACAACCCAAATAGTTGTGACGTAGTTCACGCTGGGTGAAGGGTGGAATGACGTTGCATGGGGCGCCAAACAGTGTAGTCCTAACTGCACCACGTGACCCCTCGTTCACCTCCGGCGTCGAGTGTTTGATTGAATTTTTGCTGTGCTATAAGAAAAGAATATGAATGAAAATTTTGTTGAATGATATATTCTATAAAATGTCATTTAAGTGCGTTCAAGAATAATCAGTCACGTGACAAAACGTGTAAACCAAATGCCACACACGACGTATACAAAGTACAGTCTATTTGAAAATGAAAATCCTTTAAAAGCACCACTGAGATAGGAGTGTAGGTACGTCCAATTCCATTCAAAAATAATAAAAATGTAAACCGTATGAGTTGACACTTTTCCCGATCACACTCTGATAATATGTTGGTAGGTCCAAGGGTGTACAATTTCATTCATGGCACAATGACAACATGATGATGCAAATCGGGGATAAAAAAACCGTGATATGATTTCGTGATATGACCCTTGCATGACGGATATAAATTATCAATTTGATTGATAATTTAATTTTGACACAATTTGGACGTATATCAAGGTGAAGGTTTGCTAATTAGCAGGTCTCAAATTACTCGTGAATGTACGCAGAACATTTCTGAATAACATGTTGAATATATTGCCAAGTAATAACTTCCTAAAATAGATAAACGTGGTTTTATATATCAAAAGGCCGACCGATAAAATTAGAAGATTTGATATCAAACTCTAGAGGATTGATTTCATGATGGTCCTAATGTTACCGCCATGATTAGCCAAATTTGAGTTTTACACTTCTGAGGAATGTTGCTTTAGACGTTCTGGGGCTCGATCAATGGGCTAGACTACGACCTGTTCTATTATTTCAGTGTAATCATGTGCACGCGTCAACCCACCTTCACACAGGCCATTAAACTAATATACATTTACACTTGTCAGGAATGTGATCACGTCTCATAAATCGTTGACTCTTGACCTTATCTATTATGTTTCATTACTTGTGTCTATGATTATAAAGGGGTCAGGCCAGCCCCTTCCCAACCCTTCATTGCCTCAACGAAACATTATCGACTCTTACGATCACAGAGTGCATGGCTTTAGAATAGATTCTAACCTTTGCAGGATCCCCATATCTCATAATGTTCTTATCCTGACCGATATCAGTGCTTAAGATACTTCAGATAATGCCATTTGAAATGTGCAGTTTTTATGCATTGATTCATGTGGTAAATTGTCTGTCAATACCTGCTGACATTACTGCACGTTTGGTTAATTTGTGATAGTTACACGTCAAATAAAATTAATAAAATATCACTTAATTGCTGTTCTTCAACCTTGTGAACATGATTTAAATCCTACAATAAAAACTACAATAAATCATGCCAATTATTTAAACGTCAAAGCATTAATACTAGTTGTCTGTTGTTGTATTAGACTTGTCACGGCTGCATATTATAATGTATATAAAATAATTATGAATACAAATGTACCTTTCAAGGATGACATTCGAAATTTGAGCAAATTTGAGTAATTAATCCTATGGACAAGATGCATGTGGTATTTTATGATATGAAGGTCAAAGGTTTTGATTATGCTCATTAGAGTGTCTTGTGGTTTTATAGTCACTAACCTTGTTCTCGATGTGAGGACGTGTCATTACTTGGGTTCGACTTAAGATTTACATGGTGAGTATCATCAATGAAGCAGGAGACGCTTATCTTTTCAGAACATATGGTCTTATTATCCCTGTACTTCTTCAAGGGTATTGGTGTCAATCTTTAGTTTCATCGATTTGGAGTTCGAATTATGGTTTGGTTGACACTTTTGTACTCTCTTGTTATTTTTCGATTTCTATAAACAGGTTGTGAATCGTAGTTTGTTTTAGGTACATTTCGTGGAAAGTAAGTTTGAATAATGCCTAGTAAAATTGTACGCAATCCATATAATCTTTTACCTCGCGGATATTCGTTATTATGTGTTAAATTTTAGAATGTATTTTTATTGAGAGAACACATGTCGTACAGGGTATGAAGGAAACATCCAATCACAGTTCCAAATTCTTGTATCACAACTGTCATGTTATCCGAATAGGATACAGTGAACAAACTGTAACTTAAGACTTGTTTGAAAACATATATTTACTACTGAAATTTCTTGTCCTTACGTTATTTGCCGCTATTTTTCATTCATGGTCGTTTCCATAAAATGCGTTTTATATTATAATATCATTTTCTGTGACGATTTTATAAGAGCAATAAAATGAGATAAGAATTGTAAACAGTAGTTTTGAACATTGGGTCACGCTCTAAAATTATTTAAACCAGGCCGAGCCAAGGTCTCCGCCATGAAAAGTGATAAACTAATGATATCATTATAAAATATGTTTACACCTTTCCTGCTCGTACTATTAAAATAGCTACATTCTCAACATACCTTGTGAACCTGCCACGTGCACTCCTGTGTGTGATTGGCCTTGACCCACTGTCGCGTGTATTCACCGTCAAAACTGTACTCATTGTCACGCCCACTGGCGAATACTATCACGTTCCGATGACGGTGAGAGTTCCGGAACGCATCCCCAATCTGTCCAGCGTAACTCTGGTCCACAATGACGTGTACATAACTAGCTGAACAGTGTGCGAGGTCCTCCTTTAACTCACTCAATGGGTACTTCTCATTATCTTCCGCCTAAAACAGTGATAATAATGCAGATTGAGGTGATTGATACTTTTTGCGATTTGATATTTTTTGTTCGATGAATGTAAAAATTGTCCAGATGGAAGAAATTATGTTTTAGATTTTGCTTGCTATGCTTTGAAATTATTGCGTGAACGAAAAAACTAGCTTGAAGGATGCTTTCATTTACAATTTAAAATCAAGAACAAAATATTTTAAGATATAATAGGAGTTATTCGGGTAAGTTATTCGGGTAATATGCATTGCCAAGATCATTAATCAAATATGTATATTGAATTAATGAGTGGTGAAGCGATACACGAAATAGCAAATTGACATCTCTTAAAAATATAAAATAAAATAGAATAGAAATAGTTTTCAGAAGTGATTGATTTAATTCACGTTATTTATGATATAATATGTAGTAGAAATTAAGGACCAATACATGATTTAATTAGGAACCAAACATATACTAGTCATTAGAAATTCGGATTAAGGAAGCGAAGCACCTATTTGAAATATAAGTTGTTGATACAGAAAGCTGAACAAAGTAAAAACTGACTTCCCCTTATGTCAATATCTACGTTATGATTATATCTATAATAATAATAAAATTTATTTAATGAGGATACAAAAACCGGTTTAGCAAAGCTAATCTTCCACTGGGTCCTCTGTTAGTAAAAGGGTTAGCTAAAACAATGATATAACAGAAAATAAATGAACACTCAAATTATTATCACAGTTAGCATAGACATAAAAGTAGTGGAGCTTTTAAAAATTACTGTAATTAGACTAAAATATATACAATTAAAGGGTCATTTACACTTTTCATTAAAATTATCACAAGCAAAGATACACTATTCTAAGCTTAACCAATATGGTATTCAGTAAAAGACCAAATGTCTAAAAAATGATTATGTTTTTTTATGAACCGGATTGATATGATATCATCTTTTCTGATTGAACTTATGATTATCAGATCTCTAAGGAAATCCTTGCACCATTTTACAACGACATGACATTTTACATATAATGTACCAGTCACTCTTTGTTAATTTAAATTGATCCCTTACTTCGTGGTGAAAACCTTAACAGCGCGGCAAGTTGTCTATTTATACATATGAGGTGCAAATCCATCGCTATTTATATATTATGAACCTAATCATTTTCCTGCTTTCTACCTCCACGGCTGACCGTGACTGGAAATATTCTCGCATGTTATGAATAGAGACCACCCTCGATCATCTGATAAGGCGCCTATAGTGTGATAACAAATGGTTAGAATGAGCCCAAAATACTCGAACTGTTACGTTCGTGTGGTTTCAAATCGATCTAAAATTTCTACTTTTCCCACCTGTGTTTACACCTGGTAAAACATTGTGGTACATGTATCACATATTCAATTTGTGGCCATTTAAACTATTCATTACGTTCGCATACACCAGTATAACATAACTCGTTCACAATAAACCGCAATTTCATAACCTTACTATTATCGGGTTTTTTTTCGTTTTATTGATATTGATATGATTTCTTTAGATACACAATACATTTATAATGTTGATATAAAAACATGAACTATCATGTCAGAAGGCACAATCAAAAGACAGAAATTTATAATTTAAACACAATTCCGATGTTAATTTAAGGTATTTTTTGTAAGTCCAAGTGATTGCTGTCAAGACACTCGTTGGTCGTCGTTTGTAAAATATGAAAAATATGGGCTTTTATCTTTTTAAGTGACAAGATACATATTATCACCTTGTTCCTACCATGTACAATAGACATTTTGTTTATGTATTTTCTTACTTTACTTGAACATCACTCGCTCGGTGCTGTTATGTATACATATTGTAATTGGTACATCAAAACAATTGTGTAAACAATCGTCACAAACAACACGCCGTGGTGGAATGCTATTATGATAATTATACATCTAAATATTATAATGCTATGGCAACGCCCATAACCTTCAGTTGTTTGTTACCTCATTTATCATTTGTCATTTATATTACTATAACACGTATGCATTTTGTAAGGTATTAAATTTGTGAATTCAAGAACAAGGTTCATCGCAAATTTACACCAATAACATATCTTAACCAGGCAACATAAACATGCCGTTATCGAATTCCGACGAGTATGTCTTTTAGAAAGCAAACACGTGAAATTATATCTACGCAAAAATAAAGTCATTTACAGTATTGTATGGTTTTATTTGACGAATATGTTATCTTGTTTATTTGGATTTGATTTGATATACCATATATAAGGTTGCACGGAGACTGCAGCGAAAAAGGAATTTAGGTAGGTAAGAAACACTTACAGGTCCAATTGTTTGTAATGGGAACAGTAGAAAAATCATGATTATCGCAATTGCCATCTTAAAAATGTAAAGAAATGAAATGATAAAAAAAATCGTCGTTTTTCTATTCAGGAGAATGGATCATTTACAGCTGGGGGGACTTGCTTTAATATAATTGTTCGTAATACTCATTTTTACAATGACATTTACAAATTATCCAGAAATACGTGAAAGTCCCCCAAAATACTATAAAGTTGATTGAACACTTGTGTATTATAATGCCCAATTATCACCAATGCATATTTTATCTAGGACATATCACTTTTCATTAGTATAAACCTCAGAGATAGATATTGTCAATAAATAATTGCCAACGTGATTTTACAAATCAAGGGAATACACCTGTGATAACTCTGTTTTATGAGCGTCTCCATGGATTTTCGACAAGGAAGTTATTTATCAATAGCTCTGTGCAAAAAAATCAATGCTTTTTAATTATTTTATTTGGGATCGGTAAACTGCATCACTGAGCTGTGTCCTGAGAGATAAGTTTTAACGCTCGTCGATAGACACTGAACCACTGTAATGGGAACTAATAGTTTGATTGGAATCAATCATGTCAGACATATTTTCACGATTTTATAATATTAACATTTCACTTTATATAAAAAAGATTCTTTAATAAACATTTTTTCGATATAAATTTGAACATAGGTGTGTTTATAAATGGCTACTATGTCAATTGTTTTTCAGTTCTGACAGATTTAAATATTTCAACTGTTTGCAATATCCTCGAACAGAGATACAGAAAAAAATACCATAAGACGTTAACCCCTATATAAATATTCAGCAGATCGTCCCACGTTAGTCGCCTAATCAGGGAATGAAATTATGTTGCTGAATACTTCGCATAGGCAAAAAGGCATATTGTGTAGGTGAGTATGAAGACAAAAATAGAATAAGAATTTGTTTTAAGATGTTTATGAATGGAAACAATCAATCATTATCAATTTAAAATATACAGGAACGTTCACACGGTGTCATCTATGCGGTAATACATATTATTTAAATGTTTTGATCGTCAAACTCGTAAAAATAAATGATACATTTCGATAAATTATTTCAATGTTTTTCAAGGAAAATGACATTTTACGTATATACTTTGAAATCAGATATTTTCATGGGGCCAAAATTTCGTGGATTTTCGAAAAAAACACACCATTTCGTGGATACATGAATTTGTGGAATATGGAAATTAGCTTTATGCCAATGGTTAAAATAGTTCGTTGATGAAGAGGACCCACCAAATCAAAGAAATTCAAATCCTTCGAAAAATAGCGATTTCACAGTATATCCTTATCCTCACAAAATAGTACCATAAAAGGTTTTAACAAAGTGAGACAACTTACCAGTCCGTCATTGTTGACATCCCATAGCAGCATTGTTCCGTCTGTCTTGGCGGGACTGTTGAGGTACAGAACAAGAGAGTTGACACAATGGGGTGACCGACATAGAGTCTGGATATGGTATCGTAGGGCGTACTTCATGGCCGCAGGGTGGACCTGGTGAGGACTTTCTCCCGGTACTGTGTAACGACAGAACATAACTAAATTCCTTATAATCGATATGATATTATATCAGAATGACATAGGATTAAATATGATTGATATGAAATGCAATTTCATGAACGAAACAAGAAAATAAAGTTAAAAATAATTATGGAAAAGATGCCATACTTTATTCTTATTACGGTATACGTTTGAAACAGATGTTTCTTATAGAACAGGTAAAATATCATATTTTGTTTAGTACAAGCCAAAAGTTACAATACGACATAGCAGTAAGGATTTTCTTGTCAGTTTATTAATTTCTATCAATGATACACACAACGTACTTTTTGTAGAAACATCTTTATGAATGATCATATTTAGTCTATAAGTGATTAGAACAAACACAAAGACATTAGGAAGAAACTAAATAGGAATTTACTGTACAAAATAAGTCATTGTCTAAGAAATATACAATGTCGTGTAGAAGTAGTATCTAAATGAATACCTGTAATGGCAAAATGTATATAAGGGAAAAAGACTAAAAATAAGTTTATTAAAGTACATCATCAGGAAATCGGTCGGACAAACTTTGAGATAAGTAAAGTGTAAGAACTATCCTTATTCAAATTATAAGTCATAGTGCTATAAAAAGATTCCGGGATTGATATATATTTCAATTCTTATAAGCGAGGTTTAAATGCGTATTATATTTAATTTAAATAGTAGTGTATTCCATTATATTCTGAATGAAGGTTTACAATCACCGGATGTAAAAAAACCCATCTCTTAGTGTCACCAACATGGTATATTTAGGGCAAAATGTAAACAAATGAAACATTTGTTGAAATACACTAAAACACGAGATATTTCAGCAGAGACGCTGCTTCATAGACGAGACCATCCATATAAATTTAGGTCTAATTCAAGTAATGGCACGCTAACAAAGTGACAACCGGGGCATTGACAGTAATGATGGTCTACTACATTATTTTGTATTTCGACATTTCAAATTGATGTTACTATAAAGACCAAAATTAACTAAAAATAAATTCAGGCCATACACAATCAGTTAACGTACAAAGACGTTCCTATCTTCAGTTGATAGTTTTCTGTACCTGTCTCTTAACACTTTTAGAAATACACCTTTCCTATCGACTAACCCATTATGGAAGCATTCTGTTGCAGGTATGTTACAATAACAACTTTGATGTCGACCTTCAATAGTGATCTGAATGAGGGCACTCCATTGCAGTAAAGGTTGGTACTAGGGACAAATATTATGTATCACATTAACGTCTTTTGAAGTTGATGACCCGGTCGATGTCAAATACAGATAATCAAACCCATTTCCGGGGTAGATATGAAAATACAGATTTTCGGGGTTTAATTCCTAGGCTCCCGGCTCGTGGTACAAAGCGCAGAAAACACCCGCATACTGCTTTTAAAAACATCACATACCCGCATATAATTTTTCAGGAAAGAGTTTCTATTTACAACCCATTTCATCATCATTGGCTTTCGTTGCGTTGCGTGTGATTCCGTTAAGGGATGTCGCCGTTTCAATAACGTGTACAAATACAAAGCGTTCATTTCATGCAAATAATTCAGCTTTGCGTTTTTCTTTACAACGTTAATCAGGCATTAAAGATAGTGTTGTTAAAACTTGACCCCGCCCACTCTCGTTATCGCCGGTTCTCACGCTCGTTCGCTCGCCCATTATAATCTTTTCACTCATTCACGAAATTATGCATGGCCTCAATTGGCCGGAAAATATCACTCTCTCACGGTAGAGTCTACAGCTTTTCTGAATGGATATTTACATGTTTTAAAAGGTTTCAGAAAACATAAAAAAGAAGCCATTTCTGAATAAATATGTATGATTTGTGTTGTGGATGGTAACACGCACACCATATATATGTATATGCAATTTTCTTTCCGGAATGCCCTATCGATTGTCCTTTTATGCGTTTTTACATGTTCGAGAATAAGAAACTAAAATATCCCTTCTTGGGCCTCCAAGTGTTCTGGTTCCGTGTTGTGTATGTGTGGTATTTGAAAATGGTGCTATCTAGATCAAAGTTTGAAATTAATACGTGTGGTCAGTTAACACAGAGGAAACAAATGAAATCCAACCTATCAAATTTCATTTTTTAGTCATACAAAATTGTAACCATGAATACCGGTTCGCTTCATTTATAACTTGTTTGATACATTCAACGATTTTTAAATATATGCATTATTTACACGCTATGTATTATTATACTACACAAGAAACCCTAGGTTGTACGAGTACAAACAATCAAATATATAATCAATAGATCAATAGTTTATTAGTTGAGTTATTGGTTTATATTTCCTATTTCAAGTAAAATCATACCTCTTTACTAATAGTCTTTTGATGTTATTTAAAGTTTACGGTTCATTTTGCTAAAAACTGAATCATAGGTGTTGACTTTTTACATTACACCAATAAGCAGTAAGGTCTGTTGTTGGCAATGTTCCGTTTACTATATAAGGTCACCCAACCTTATTAACTCCCCATGCATAAAATTAGATCTATACACATTCATTAGGACATATTATCAATTGTATAAACAAGATACATCTAATGTAATTTTATTAGATAAGTGTTCCTGTTTTAATTAATAATTTTGAAGTTGTTACAATGCAAGTGAAAATGGTCACTCCAACATGGAAGGCGATCAGGTGGATAATGTATTTTGTTGTGAAGTTATAGGGGAACAGAGGGAGCAATTCTGTGAATAATAGTGTCACCGAGGTTTACTGGTAACATTGAGCGGAGCGAAAAACTCAGTACGGTAATCCAAATTTTAAACCAAAACCGCCTAAATTTGACGAGTTCAGATTTTTGATCACTTATCAATATCATGACGTGTCGGAGTTGATTTGGTAAGTTACTAATTAATATCATGACGTGTCGGCGTCGGTTGGGTCAATTACTAATCAATATCATGACGAGTAGGAGTTGGTAGGGTAAATTACAAAACGATAACACGACCTGTCGGAATTAGTGGCTTTATTACTAAACAATATCATGAAATATCGGAGTCGTTGTGTTGATTACTTAAAAATATCAAGACGTATCGGTGTTGGTTGGGTAACTAACTAATCAATATCATTACGATAAGGAGTTGGTAGGATAAATTACAAAACGATATGTGACGTGTCGGTGTCGGTAGGTTAATTACTTAACAATGTCATGACGTGTCGGAATTGGTGGCTTTATTACTAAACAATATCACGAAGTGTCGGAGTCGTTTTGTTGATTACTTAGCAATATCATGACGTGACGGAGTCGGTTGGGTAAGTTACTTAACAATATCATGACGTATCGGTGTCGGCAGGTTAATTACTTAACAATATCATGACGTTTCGGAGTCGTTGTGTTGATCACTTAACAATATCATGACGTGTCGGTGTCGGTTGGGTAAACTACTAATCAATATCACGACGTGACGGAGTCGGTTGGGTAAATTACTTAACAATATCATGACGTGTCGGTGTCGGCAGGTTAATTACTTAACAATATCATGACGTTTCGGAGTCGGTTTGGTAAATTACGTCACGAACTATTGCCATAAAGAATTTATATGCAAATGAGAAACTTGCTGAAAGTAAATATTTGTGAAACAGCTATATAATGCAGTATATCTCATGTTTTGGCATAGTTTATTTATTACCAAATTATAAATGGTGAAATTACGTGTGTGTCATACATGGGCGTTCATCTTGTACGGTCACAAAATATTTCATTTGACCAATCAAATGCTGTGTCACATCTTAAATTGGGTAAGAAGTATTGTTACTCCAAGCATCGCGATCGGAGACCTGTGTGAAAAAAATAGATATTACAATACACAGGTGGTTATGTGTAATATTTTATATTTAACGTAGATAAAGGTGTTTTGAGGTATTGAAGCGTATAATTTAGATAATCTTTTCGCACACAGTAATGTAAATATCTAACCTCTAAAATAATGTCATACACACCGACTCAGACTTGAAGAAGATCATTACTAAGTTTATTTGCTTATGTATTCAGACATTATGAGGTCCAGGTGGCTTTATATGTATCCAACCGTGAGAGTCCCGAGGCGTTTACATGTGACCAAATGCTGGACATCCTTTGAAGTAGGTTTCATTTCTGAAAAGGTCATCAATTTATAATTTAATTATAGCTCGGTAGGGAAGGGGTTGTTATTTTTAGCAAACAATCACTACACCAGGCCAATTTTATAGATTTTGATATTAAAGAGACAGTTTTATCTCTTCGCTATCAATGGCTATCAGCGTGATATTAATGACTCGATATCAAGATAATAGCGAAAAGTGCTTTGATCTTGAATATGTTGGAAATTCTACGGGTTGTCCTTCGAGGAAAGTCCCATGCGTACGGCTCATATTATCACCATCAACCCATTCGATTGACACGGTGAATTATACGCATGCGCACACAGTATCATCAGCGGAATGACCTGTTGACCTGGATCTATAGATTACAAAGGATACATTTATTACTATCAAACTAAGGGTACCTTTGGGACACTTCTGGTTTTATTTTTGCATGGATGTTTTATATTTCAAAGCTGTTTTCTGTGTCAGTTGGTCAACGCGTGTGTGCTCGCAGATCTGTATGACAATATCACCATTTTTTTAGGACGAAGAGTATATTTGATAGTATTTAATAATTTCACACAATCACTCGCGTATGTGTTAACGGATTGATCGCCCGTTTACAAAAGAACAATTCTTTAAAACATTATGATTACGCTCTTAGGGATCCCCGAACCACTGCCATTAGTTGTAACTATAAATTTGAAACTTTTATCCAACATGACAATATCTTTGATAGATAATTTCTTGAAAGAAATCCATACCTATTGGAACGTTTCTTACAAATAATTTACATGGAATAGTAATAAATAATATCAACCAAAATGTTTTAAAAATCAACTATGTCCTAACGTGAGATATAACACAATGCAGTCACTCTAACCACCAGAGCAAACTGAGCACCGATGCATGTAGTTCCCGGACCAAATCCAAATATATAGGTATAGCCAAAACAAAATTACGAGAGCTAACTGTGCGTATGCAAAACTTCTATGGAATTCTTTAATAATTGTCTGCATGGGGACAGGAATCCCTAACAGCGTGTTACGACTTCAACTGTGTGATGGTATAAACTTTGACACAAAGTTTCATATAACTGAAGATTTCTACCCTATAAAATATACTTTTAAGAAGTACGCAAATATCCACACTGTCAGCTCTCATGTAACTCCAGATGGTAATTTAATTAGAAAATGTTAACTAAGATGTTGTTCGTTTGTTTGGTGTTTAACGTCCAAAACAGATAAGGTCACATACACGGGTGTCAAAGGAGCAACTATCGTAAAAAAAGAGTAGGGAAGTGAGACAAGCAAGGGGATAGTAGATCAGATTTGGTTTCTTCGATGTCACCTTAGTATATCGTAGGAGACACCGAAGAAGACGCCTCGATTTTGCAAGGGGTGAGGGCAATATTAGTCATCTGTTTCGACATGCAATAAGCTTCTAAGCGTCTCCCGAACCTGCAGTAGTGATTATAATGATCACAAATGCCAAATACAATCTTAATTGTAACCAGTGTCCCGAGAGACAGAAACAGATAATGCCAGCAGTGAGAACAACGATATGATAAAGAATGGTGTTCCCAGTGACAAGGACAAAGCTACTACAGAGCTGAGCTTGCCAGGTGATTGCAATTGTATGAGGTAGGATACGTTGTCAGTTTAGGCTTTTTCATGACATTAAATAGATCAAATGTATGTTTTAATTTTTTTTCCCGCTATATTAAAATGAAAAATATGTTTACAGTTGAACTTTGAGTGTAAGATAAACGTTGCCTACACACTAGTAATTGCACCTCAAGAATTCAATAATAGATACAGTATGCAAAATCAGAATAGAGCTTAAAGACAGGTAAAACTCTTCACTCCCCGAAGTCGTTTGAAAGTACTAAAATGACCGAGCGGCTATCTGTTCTAAAACATTGTACCTTCATTTTTATTACCAGAGCTTCAAAGTCGTCACTCAAAGTCAGTATACAAGTAGATAAGACTTCATTTAAGGTTCTAAACATTAGCACGTAATATTACTCTGTTTTCACAATAGCGGCTTTGTAATGTTATATGCTTTCATTGCAAACGGAATTAACACCGTTGCACCTCGTCTTCTGCATAAGTGTTAATATTGTCTCAGTTAGAGACGGTTACTGGAATTAGCTAAAATACACACGAATAAAGAACAAATTTACGTTAGTATGAAAAACATCTTCAGCCATCTCAGTTTCATTGGTTCGACCCCTAGGTGAAAAGTTATCGCATGCTAACAAACACACGCTATAGCTATACACATCTATCATTGGTATAACGAGACTGCTACTTACGGTTGATGCCGGTAGCTCCGTTCGCAAAGAATATGTTGATATTCCTTTTTTTGAACGCGTACTGGCGTAACATCCAATAGAAACGTTCCAGATTGTGCTTATGACTGATTCCGGTCGTTTGTCGGTTCCATCCTCCAGACACGAGAACCGCCTGGTCACAAATCTCGAAAATTCTACACGTCGTGTGCACCATTTCGTGTGTGGTAGAACATCGTTTTGTGTTCTCCTTGATTGGGTTGCAGATGAGTTCTGTCGATTCATTCAGCGGTCTTAGCTCCGGACACCGTCCAAATCCATCTTTATTTTTCCAACATTTGAGAAAATTGTATCTTTGTTCCATGTATAACTCCTGTGTTCTTCCGGTGTCGAAGTGCACCACGGGAAGGAAATTAATCTCACATCGTCTGGCGTGGTGCTTACGTCGACCGTGGCGTTTTATAGCGTTCTTACAACGACGTTTTAATGCCAGTGTTAAACAGTCTCCGGATGATTCTAAAAAAGAAGGAAAGATAGTTAGGAATGTTTTCTTAAGATTTGTTTTTGGAATTCACTTCAATTTACATCCGTAAATATTACAACTTATTGGATATGGATAAATAAAACAAGTAACCATTTTTCAATAAAAACTGGTATAAAGTTCACAAGTAAGCATCATCAACATCATCTATAATAAGATATTTGCAGCAATAACAATAAGACAGCGAACTTTATGTTTTGTTATAGCTCACAATTTGTTGAGGAACAATTTTGATTAATTCATAAATGCGCACAAATCCTGAAAACGAAAAATATGAATGATCATTAATCTTTCAAAGTGTATTCTCAAAAACCGTCGGAAACAGATGAATCGACACATCCATCTGACGCCAAATTAACACTTGGGTACATTAAAAGGTTATTGTGAATAATATGAACACAAAATATTCGCCATAATCCAAAACGTTGCAATTGTCCCAATAAAAAGAAATGTTTTAAAAAAACTGAAAAAAATGTTTTCTGTTCACAAGCTATAATTGTTAACATAAAGTTTAACATAAAGAAAAACTCAAATATATACCAAAAAATGCTATTCCTAATATAACTTATTGGATGTGACTTATTCATGTGCAGTACATTGAATGTTATGTTATTTTTAATCAGTTCTTTTTCTCATTAAATATTAAGTGATGTCTTACAGGGTGGATGCAATGCAAGTTTTTTCTATCACACTGTAATATGTAGTTTGTAAACTGTATTTTTAGATAACTCATCAATTATTGCTAAGTCGTTCTATTTATAGACAGGGTAAACTTGCACATCCTCACGCATACTAAAAGCACGAATATACATGCAACTACAAAGTGAACGCTGGATGGATTTTGATTTCATTTAACGTACCTTAATTATAAAATGTCATTTATTTAATGACTAATGTAAATGAAACGTTTTTATCATTTTGTGTGAAACAAAAACTTAGATTGTTCATAATGGAAATTAAAGGCAAAGAAGCAAAAACTTTTTTTGTTTTGGATTCGGACTAATCAAACTTGGATGCATATGATTTGTCCAACTTGACTAATACAATTAATCTGTTAGTACTTTTTACATGTGAAGCAATCCGCGAACAAAAACGAAGATTTGTTCATCAACGAAACACAAAAAATGCCATGCTTTATACTATAACTGCTTTTAGTGCACGGATTTCCCTCTGGATGATTCCATGTATAAGTTTTAGATATGACAAAGAAGCATGAATGTTAAAATTGACCTAATTTTTCCATATTATTAACCCACAGAAATAAAGCCGTGTAAGTGCACACCTCGTCTTGCAAATAGTACATGTATACGATAGTGTAAAACTTTTCAAGCATCATTTTTGCAGAGTGACCCTACTGTGGAAAAAAATCCACCCTCCATCCTCTCAATTTTAACTAGAATATCACAATATCAGTGACCTACTTCAAAGAAGAAACACAATGCAGTATTATGAAAGAGGATTCTAATAAAAAAAAAAAAATGCGTTCAATGAAAGACGAAGAGTTATTTCAGAACTTGGTATACCCAAAAAGCCTAGTTGATCTGATAATGCAATTACGAAAAACTATGTTGGATGGTGATGAACATGAAATCGCCACACATGTTTTGCTCACAGTTTGACAGGGGTATTGAGTAAACTATTTTTGTGTTTGCAATATACAAACAACCGCTGTGAGTACAGAGCTTACTTAGTGTTAAACACTCACAGAATAGACTCGAGACGAGAAATGGTACTATAATGTAGTTAAAGGAGAAGTGAAACAGTGACTTGGGATATAAACCAGCAGCACTCTAACTGCTAAACAAACGTTTCACTTTTATGTTGAGCTGTTGGCCGTTTCTCGCGAACTTAGCCTGGCGCCCCTACGTTAGTCCCAGTTCACAATCGGATTGAACAACAGTCTGTACCTCTGCATCAGAGATTTCAAAGGAATATGCACCACAGGTGTTTAGCATGGACATTAAAAGCGCATTAATTTAACGAAGTACAGGTGTTGTTCATCCGCGTGAAAAAGTGTCCCTGTACTGTTGGGTCAATGAGGGCAGATCTATACACACGGATTAGCATTTGAGATGAGAAACATATGATTACCGAAATGAATTGCAATGCTCCGTGGGTTCATATGTGTTCTGTAATAAAAGTGCATTATTCGCATGGGCAATGTTGCAGGATTTTTCACAGATGTGATTGTTTTGTTGATAGCCAAGATGTAACAGAAAAATGCATTCAGAAATGTCATCTGTTCGATTTGATTACCCAATTAATATAACGAAATACATGTACTTGTGTATATTTATAATGGCTACGGCGATCCCGTAGACTAATCAGTAAGTGTATGTGATCCATGTCATTCCTGTAAGTAGTATCTGGGCCTTTCACCCTGGCAGAGCACCTGTTACATCCTATTGTCTGTAATACCCTGACTGGCTAATAGGGCCTCAGGGTAAGCCTTTCACTGGCTCTTTATGAAAGAAACAGACCCGACTTTTATAGATAATTACGCTGGCTAGCTCTACAGCATATAAACCAACAGCTGTTTACAAAGCTCATTTTGCAGATTTTAATTCTATTTCATCATTTTAAATCCTCACATGTTTCAGCTAAAACATTAATTTAGTTGTCATTTTATCCACTTTTTCGGATAAATGCCTGTTTTATAACACATCAAACAAACTTTATTGTACATTTCTTATGCCGAAATATTAGTTTAATTCACCATCATAAATATATCATGCGATATTTGCACCTGTCTACTAGACCTTTTGCGATTGTTTGTATCAAAATTTACATATCAAAATACTGTTATCAATTCAGGCAAGAAGGATATAACATATTTGGGTGGTAATGTTAAATTGTTGGAATAGATGTAAAAAAATATATAAATGAATAGTCAATACATTTGTATGTTCAATCGGTTTAATTTGTTATAATGAGACAGCCGGTAGTTGGTTGTATGTAAAAACAAGGAACAGAATAAACAATTCGATATATTATAAAGTCATTTACAAATAGTCATGTAATATTTGATTACATTTGCCGATATTTGAAAAGAAACTCAATTAAACACACAGGGGTTTGATGAAACTGTCACATTAGTAATACTATGTTTCAAACATATTATATCTAAAAATGCATGTAAGTCTACCTGTTTATGAAGTTGTAGTATGATGGTATAATGATCAGAAGAAATACGTGATAAGGAAAAAGTTATTTGGAAATTAAGTAAATCGAGGCAAAGAGCGAAACAAAATTAACGTTTAATGGTATTAACGACCAAAACATTTTGGACCATTGAGATCGATTTTAAGAAAGTGAACATAGTACTACCATACATGTAATTGCTGGGGGTTTAAATGACGTCAAAACTGTTTTATGAAAATAAAAATAATCTCAAATTTAACCTTATTCATCTGTTAAATAGTGTAAATTATATTACAGTGCCAACAAGCACAGAAAACATCAAAATTGTGAAATTGTTTCGAAATGACAACCATTGGAGTCATAACAAAAAGTAACATATCATGACCCCTTTAAATAAATTAATAGAAATATGCCGTGGCAAAAAAATCACTGAAAACGGAAACATGTTCCCTTTCAATTCTGTTCCGTTTTCCCTTCTGTATATAACCTACACCCGTAGTAGAAACCGTAAGCATGTATATAGTGTACACTGGTAATTGGATAATTGCCCGAGCTTTGGCGATGATTCTGTGCCGACTGCATCTATGTACATTCTCCCTGTGTTAACGAGAATGGCGGCCTCTTTGATGTCGGTAATGTATACACAGTGACAAACGAGTGGAGATATGACGGACTACGTAAAGCTCGTGCTAACCATGTAGTTACCTGATAAGAATTGACTTGAATTACCTTTGAGAATTTAATGTTTTCAATTCTTCTCGCTAACCGCAACGGTATGGGTATTAAACCATCAACTATATAAAGGGTTCTGTCGATTACTGTGTACTACATGTAGGCAATAACCCAACTTCACATAAATAAAATAAATCTTAGACTAATATATATGGCATTGTGGTTTGTATTCTTTGTATGTGTATTGGTTTGTGTTTACCTTTAAGTCATATGCTCAAGGCAATTCCAGCTTATCCGATTTTTTCCCCACCTAAACCATTTCTTATAGTATAGGCAGCCGGCTAGGTAAAATAGCTAACGGTCCAAGGGGCAGGTAAAGGAACGTTTGAAGACAGCAATAAACTTCTACAAATAAACCCATTTGAAATATTGTAATTCCATTAAATTAAGTAAACACTTCTTTGTCAGTAGGTTTGTTAAAAATGATTTAATGATTGATACTAAATGATTTCTTCCCCCTCTGTGGGTTCGCTGTGTTTGGTCGTGTGCCTTATGAGTCACTTTGTCTCGGCTGTTGGTAAGATTCGGGAGTACAGTAGACAATATGCACCTTTGTAAAAACGATTTGAAATATTTCATGATAGATTAGCAAATAATAGTGTCTTCATGTTGGTCCCTCCCCAGCCAATTAAGTAGACGTACATATGTGTTATTACAAACTGTCCCCGTCAACATGGACTAATTGGCATTAGGTAAGTATCTAAAACCTACCTACAAAAGGTCGACATTCCTCGGTACAGAGTTCTACAGGCGAACCAAGTATAGTTAGCTTATTAGGGAGACGAACATTCATCACCATTTTACTTGTTTCGGAATAGAATAGTTCTACTTTTCCTTCAGAAACGTTATATGTTTTTATTAGTTTTTATTAAATATTTAAGATCAACATTTAAGAATTAAATGTAAAAGGTCGAATAAAAAAATACCATACTGTCATCACACAAGAATGAATTACTTTCACCCTTGACTTACAGATGAATATCGATGTTTGCCTTATATGATACTAATAGAAAGTATGAAGCATCTTGAAATGTTTGCAATGCTTTGAATGATACCTACTAGATATATTCAAATATTTTTTTAAGGAGCAAAAGTTTTAAAC